AAAATGGTGGAGTAATTCGAGAGAAACAAACTCACTGGCATCTTTTGCGATATGTAATTTAACCGTCAGTCCAAGATAATCTCTCCCTGAAACTGGCCCTTTGCCAATGTTAGACACACCCAAGCAAATATCTATGTTGTCGGCTGCCAGCTTCAGTACAGGAGTTCTTAGGAGCTGTCATGTTTCGAGGCCAGTGAGAGCTGACATCTTTTGCAGACATGGCCTGCACGTGATCGCAAAGTAGCTCGCCGCCTGGTTTCGATCTCCGTGGAGTGTTCTAGAACCCCGAAGCTTGCCAAAAGAAAATATGGATGCCCAAGACGCTGACTTTCTATATTGTGCTTTACGGGTTCGTCTCTACCGCAAACTTTTCCTGAAGCTTCTATTCGACCAAAATGCACTCGATATTTTTTTGCCAGTTTTAATCCGCATGGTACAAATCGGGTGAACCAATCGACGGCTGAAATCGCCACAGTAGTAATTATTTGTGAAATTATTTTGTTAAATTTGATTCCTCAGAGCGACACCCTCCACAAAATACCACAAATATGGAGCATCTATTGAAAATCAAAACACTAGTAATGGCCAGTTAGACTAGCTCATAACCTATTACTCCACGCCGAAGCTCTCTAAAAATTTACTAAGCTGAGCTTGGCACAAGGCCTCAATAATAGGAGTTCCAGTTAGAATTGAATTCACTAGTAATAGCCAACTAGAGTATCTCGTTAATCCTTACTCTACATAGAGAATCTCTAAAAAATGATGAGCTGAGCCTTGGCACAAGGCTCCAAGTATGGTGTGCTCAGGAAGGATCAAACGCACTATTCGTTATTAATGGCCAAACAGACTAGCTCATTAACCATTACTCCAAGCGGAGGATCTCTAAAGATTTGCTGATATCAGCCTTGGCACAAGGCTTTAAGTATAGGGTGTACGATGGGGATTGAACTCACTGTTCAGTATTAAAAGTCAACTAAACTAGATCATTAACCATTACTCAATGCCGATGATCTGTAAAACTTTTCTAATCTGATGCAAAACGATTATTTATGGGGGCAACCGTCGAGGATCGAACTCACTACTAATCATAGACAAGTTCAGCGTTCTGACTATTGCACCACTTTCGTCGGCCCCAACATAGTTGATAGAAAAAGGAATATAACTTATTCGCATCGGTAGAAAAATAAGAAGTAATTTCATAGAGATGAGATATTTTCTTTTCCCTAAACGATCTTGTTCTTTAAGCAGTTTCGGTTTAGGACAGAAAAGGAAGCAGCTCTTTTTATCGAAATTTGGAGAAAGAGGGGCGAATGTTGTATGTTTCTGTCGAGTGAAAGGTGCTTATTTAGATGTTGGTTCGGCAAGAGGATTTTTGGCCTTTGAGCAATGTACAAGTCATTCCACTCCATTTTAGGCGTTTTTATTTTTTAGTTTATATCTTAGAAGATGTAAGGTCATCAACCAATCCACTTTTATTTTTTGTTCATTTAACTCTTGTTGACTTTCTCTAAATATTAAGTGACAGAGATTTCAGTCCTCAGGTAGTTTCAACTTTTGTCTTTTCGTATTTGTTATCATGACTAAATACGTGCGAGAATGTCAATGTGAGTGATAAATTACCACACTTTTCAGCCATGATTGTTTTTATACTAATGTTCCCCCCAATACAAGGCCCAAGAGCCCCTTAAAGTAGAGGATTGCTGCGTGGTGTTGTATCAGCGTAAGAGAAAGTAAGAAGTGTAGTTCGCAGGAAAGATAACAGTTGATGCTAAACTTCAAGCGGTTAAGAATATAGTGATCGGGAAAACATCATGTCGAGAGTCAGGAATAAGCAGTAGTTCCAGGGAAGAAGCTATCCGGGTGTGACTTCCTAATGGAAGGAGAAGGGAATGTGGTGAAATGGCGGGTCCCAGATTCAAAGGTCTGGACTAGTGGAACCAAGGGATATAACTCGTCGGAAGATCATGAGAATAGCGATAGAGGAACGAGAGGCTTTCGACGTTTCGTCAGTGGGAAAGGGATTGTAGCCGGAGGGTGGGAGTAAACTAATCACCCACTAGACTAGGTAGGCGCTTTTGAATTCTATAGGCAAGTCAACATTGGGCAACTCAAGCCCAGATATGACAGCAATAGTCCATTTTTGGCCTGATTTGGCTCTTGTATGAATATAGTATGGCAGGGAGAGTCAGATAGTTTCTGACACAGTACAATGAGCTGACACTGTTGTAGCTGAGTTTCCGATACAAACATTCAATTTCTCTTGTTTCTTGCAAATATTGTTAAGTAATTGTAATCGGATATTGGAGAAATCATTAAAACTTATTATTTTTCAACTACCTCTACAAAAAATGTATATATGGGGCTAGTTAAGACTTCATAAGGAAAATGTGTTATTAAGACATTTGCAGTAGGACAGGTAAGTAAAAATGTAGGCTTTTGGTAAATGGAAAATTATTCGAGCGATTGTGGCGTCCATTCAGAACATCGGCGATCATGGCTCTCCACAATTTTGTATCTCGTGTGTCTCTTAGCAGTTTTTCTCCCTAATCCTAAGAACACCGACCCCCGTTTCACCATCTATTCACAAAATTTCGTCAGTTTCGTGGTTCGCTGCCTTCCCATATCTCCCTTGTCCTCAATATGCCTTTTAAAATGTCCTTTAAAATACCGTGTTTCTTCCGGATGTAGAAATTTATGGCTACCCACAGCTTCCTTTTCTTTACTATCTGCGAATTGTTATGGCTTCTTTGAAAAGATAGCGCAATGGTTGACCCTTGCATTATTCATGGTTTTGAATTCAGATTCGTTTTCATAGCATGGTTACCAACTACACTTAGCGAACCAATTCTGCTCTTCTACTTAACCCTATTTATTTTTCTCAATATGCCCTATGAAGGTTAATTTTTCCAAGCCTTCCTTCTTCATTATGTGTTCAGGGAATTTCAGCTGTCTTTTCCTGATTCTAAATAAGTGTTCTTTCTATTGCTATTTTATTTAAGTCTTCCTCGTTGCTTACTCGCTCTGTCCATGAAATTTTCAATGTCCTTCTGAAGAACCAGATTTCTGCTTCTTCTAGTTTTTTTTTTCCTCACCCTTGTTGTCCAACATATACTGCCATATAAGAAGATGGATACTGTATTATAATCCATTTTTTCCACTAATGGCTCTGTCCTGACAACATATAGTCAGGAGAACTCTGCTGCTTTTTTAAGCAGTAAGATTAACCCTTTATGAGGCCAAAGGGCAACTCGAAGTAGAAGGTTACGCCAAGAGGCCATTTGTGGGTATAGGAGTGGGAGATAACGGTTAACCCGAGCCTTGAAAAGGTTAAGATTATAGTGATCGGGGAAACATCTTATTCGGAGTCGGTTCCACAGGGCAGTGGTTCGCAGGAAGAAGCTGCTCGAGTGGAAATTACTTATCACCGATGGAATATGGAGGGAATGTGGGTAGTTTGCTACGATGTAAGTTGCATAGTGTGTTCTTGCCGTGAAGGTTTGACTTGGCGGGATAAGGGAATGTAGTTCGTCCGAGCACTTTACTTAGAACTAGCGGTAGTGCAGCCACATCACGCCTGTGGGATAGAGGTTGAAGGGTTACTGATAAGCAATTTCTTATTGTCTCGGATAATTATACTACAGATACCACACAGCAATCCAGTATTTTATTTAAGTTTAAAAAATATGACAGAGAAAATGTGCTTTTTCCCTTACTCCAATTTGAGGCCGTATGTCATTTTTTTTTGTATTTCGCAAAAGTAAATGTATACAAAAATAAGAAATAAATATATGTCATTATACTTATAACAGGCGTCTGTTGACGTCTGTGGATTTTAAAGGAGTAAATAAAAAGCATGAGATTTTTTTCACAGTTTTATTTTAAAACTTTGATTCCCTCTCCAGCTGAAAATGAACATGATGAAGATAGACCTTGACAGATGTATGGTGGCCAAAAATGTTAGCCGCCTCCTGGCTAATAATGCCAAGTGAGCGGTGTCACATTTAATCATCGGACAATCAAGATTGTAGAATGAGAACGCAACAAAAAACAAGTCATAGCCTTTCCCACTTTCTGTATCTTGCTTATAAAAGGGAAAAAAGAGAGAGACAGAGAGCGATAGAGCAAGAGAAAAAAAAAAATAGCAAGAAAAAGAGAAAAAAATTGATGAAGCATTTCAAAAAGCCGGATTGCTGTTTGTATCACATTTAGTTTCGTTTTTCGTCGGAAATTTAGAAAATTTATCGAAATTTCATGTTTTATTAAATTTTATTATCATCAATTTTTTTTATGATATAAAAAAAAACAACAACTTTTTTTTTCTTTTCACTTCATATATTTTTCCACCTTATTTAATTTTCCCCAAAAGATTTTCCATTTTTCTTTTTTTGGTAAAAAAAAAGGAAAAAAAAAAAAAAAACGACTTTCTTTTGGGTTTATAAATTTGGCTCGTATTTCACTACGCCAAAAATGTCCGCAGTGCCTTGTTCAACGAAAGCCAATCTGCAATCCTTTCTTTTTCCGTATGTTCTTTAAACAAATAAACTACCACCGACTGAACTGTAATGATCTTATATGGAAGATGATGTTCGTTCTCAATAAACTGCTGATAGATGTCCGCATGGTCTTAGTCGACAGTAGTAGTAGTAATAATAGTAGTAAGAGTGGATGTTGGAATATTAAGCTGTGCTTGTAGTTGTAGCGGAAATCACTTGTTGATGACGATAAAATTGACGGCCGCAATATTCATTTTACGTATGTAGGGATATCTATAGATATACAAAGAAAAATCTACTCCGGCCGTTAATTTCATTTTTTTTTTTTTTAAGGAAAACTCAAATTTTATTTAATATTTCTACATCTGACTGTCACCGAAGTCCATTGTTTTTTTTTTTAATGTTTTTAAATTCTTGGCTCTCTTTCTACCATAAAGAATATCGGCACCTCATTTGGAGACGGGGGTGATGATGCTATTTGGGTGAGGGGTGGACATCCCAAAGGATTTAGCTGAAGCAGACTGGACCAATCTGCAAGCCAAATTTCTGGTTTTCCTCTCCTACATCTTGAACGGCTACGTCAGTGATAGGTAGGAGGTCTGTCTGGCTGGTGTCCACTTCGAATACTGTCTTACCCCACTGGTTGTTCTTTGTCTGAAAAAGAAAGAAAATCACATTCGTAATTTTTTTAAAATAGCAAAAAAGCGAAAACAAGGTGAGATAAACGGAAATATTGACTGTCTAGACAGTTAAAAGTAAATTTGAAAAAAAAAAAAAACCCAAAAAAACGAAGTGGTCGTGTGCTCCTGCTGTACATCTTGAGACTCTCGACAAAATCCAAAGAAGGGTCTGTAAGGTAATCGATCCTGATCAGGCATTTCGGCATCAGTCACTTAACGATGTGACGTGGCTTACCTCTGTCTTTTCTACAAATATTTTGCTCCCCCCCCTGGTGCCCTGACTGCATAAATTTAAGCGTGCTACTAGATTTTACTGTTGCAATAGCATCATCTACGCAAACAGTTTATTTTCTCGCTGTAGAACTCTTCATTTTACTTGCTCGTCTGATAACTACAATCTCTAAAGATTTAAATGCAACGTCAATCGATATCATCTGTTTTCTTGAATCCCGTTCATCTTTTGTCCTTTCCATAATCCTCCCTATTTTCAGTCTTCTGTTTTACTTTATCTCCCTGTAACCCACCACTCCGCATGGTAGCGGCATTCCCGTCCTGCTTGGGGTGAAGTGGTTAAAAGAAATTAAAAGGGAAAAATAAACCATAAAACTAATTATTTCAATACTAGGTGAACGCGAAATTTCCGTTTACCTTCATTTTTGGAAAAGAAAAAATGCATAGCAGAAAATATTTTATCTTCTTTGACTTGCGGTCAAAACTCACATTTTGTAAAACTCAATCTAATTGGTTGATAAATCCTTCGCGTGCTTAAAAATAACTTATGGCGAAATCCGGACGCAAACTCCTGGAGCCTATTTCTTACCTTAAATTTCGAATCTGTGAGGAAAGGAAGGTTTTGGCTAGACATGATGTTTCGGAGTGACAAAAGGTCAACCGTCTTACGTAATTGTTTTGCAAAACAATAGGTGGTCAAAACTACGACTGATGTTTAATTCTTACTGGACACCAACCCAGATATTTCTACGTTTCCGCGTACATAGAATGCATCTGCATTCTAGTACTATGAATACTTAATCCAAGTAGTTAGAGATCATTTACGTGTTGTAGAAATTTATAAGTAAAAATAAAATATGAGTGAAAGAAAAACAAATCCTATATTATATATTCGTATTTTATAATAATAATTGTTTGATCCAATCCTGATATGATTCATGTCCCCACTCTCAAATTTATAAATAAATCTTACAGATGCATACTGGGATCTCATTCTAACCAATAAATAGATAACTTCGCGGTCCTATCCACTATATTTTTGTTATTTCTTGTCTTGAAGTCAGAACTCTAAAATCACTTGACTGTATCCCTTTTGCTTGTTAACGCTGTTCTTATTGTGTGAACTGTTTGCCTTATTACTGTTGCTTTGTCTAGTATTATTTTGCCCTGTTTTTGTTATTTATAGGAAACGTTGTCAATTCTGTCTGTTGAGTATTTTACCAGTTACACTTAACCATGGCCAATTACTCTATAATAATAATAATAATTTCAGTAATCACTGCCCGACTGCAGGCACTTAATTTAGACAAAAGTTACGTTTCTGCTACGCCGTTAGACTTGAAGGTTTGTTGCTTTCCCAACTTTTGCACAGTAGAGTCAATCTCTCAAAAGGTATTTTTTCTAATTCCTCAAAATGGGATTTTTATTTACCTGGCATCCATCAATGCTAACTCTGTAGGTGTATTTGCGCAGTTCGTGATTGGCGAACATCTCGCTACCATCGAAAGTGGCAAGTTTTACTCCATAAGCATTAGAGTTGAGACAGTTGTATGTGATGTTCTGACGGGCACGGATCGAATGCATGTGAAGGAAGTGATATTGGTCTCTCTTCAAATCACCATAGCCAAGCTGAAATAGAAAAGCAGAGAAGGGGATAGAGATATAATAAGATATAATAGGGATATTTTGTTGCAGTCTTTCAAATTTTGGGGACATGCCTACATTCAAAATCGCCATTTGCAACATTGGTTTTAATATTTACTAAGCAAGAGCAGAGGTGGTCATATTTTGTACCGTTGAGCTTCTCGGTAAAGAGAACTTGTTTGTCTTGAAAATTAACATCGAAAATTCTAGCTTTATCACTGACCACTGGAGCAGCCATTTGTTATATAATTCAGTCTCCGACCATTGAAAAGTGATTGATCGATTTGTATTTTTTTTTTATGACTTATCAACCCTTTTGGGTTATTTAGAGACGAAATATGATTCTGATTGTTCACATGTCATTGTTAACAATCAGAATCATATTTCGTCTAATTATAAATATATTTCATAAATACGCAATGAGGTTTCTGGGTAAATGTCCAACTGGCTTAGTTGACAGCTTCCGACAATTTATAAATGGAGGGGTATATGACCTCTTTTTAAGCAGCCTTTGCCCTGGCACAACTGAGTATTCTAAGTGTCTTCCCGGACTGTTAATCTTTCAGGTCAATATAGTATCACATAAGAATGTTTTACTTACCTCAGTCTTATGAACAATTTCTCTCATGAACCATTGGTCAGGACTAGTTTCCTTTGTCCATCTATCCTGTGTGTACTGTAAGAGAGAGAAAAAAAAAACGAAGAATATATAGTTAAACTATAATTAGGTTTTATTTCACGTATTTTTCTTTTTAAATTAAATTCCTCTAAAATTGTTCCGTAACCTGTTATCTCACAGGTAGGATTTATTTTAAAGGAACGTAACTGTATCACAGGTAGGATAAAAAAAAAGACGTAACTTCCACGTGGGGCTACATCTTGCAGCAAAGGGGAGAGGTTATTTTCCAAGCGTAGCTTAGATGTGGCACAAGGCCGAAAGTATGGGGCATCTAGTGAGGATTGAACTCGATTTTCAGTTGTAACTGATCTAGCGCGACAAGCTTGCTAACCATTACACTACGCCGAGTTGCCGACAGCAGAGGGGAGCGAGAGAGAATGAGGAATTATCTTTTTACAGACTTAATCAGCACCACCTTACGGCGTTTAACGAAGCCAAGAGGGGGTAATCATACTTCAGGGTTTTTTTTTTTTTTAATGCAAGCACCATGGAAAAATGTATTTCCTTTTCTTCTTATTATCATTATTATTATTATAATTATTATTATAGATTTTATTTAATTTATCCACAAATCGAAAAATCTAATAACCAGTTGGTACAAGGGCAGTGAATATACCAGATTGGGTAAAACACAAAACCTAGTTCAAAAATATTTCCTGTGTTATTTTTTTTTATATTTGGCCTATGTTCTATTTGGAGAACAACAGAGAACATTTTTCTTTAATCTACTGTGTACGCTGCCGTAGCCATACAAAAACTAAGGTATGTTAATATGCTCTAAATTTAATCTTAATTAGGATCCCACATTTGTCATCATAAGTGTTTCCCCAAAACGGAAATTACTTATGACTGAACCTAATAAATACTGTGGTGTCACATCATTCAGTCTAGAAAACTCGTGGGTCCGCGCCTGAGAAGTGTTATTTTTCACCCAGTTAGTAGTTGGTTGGTTGATTGTTTTGTTTAACGGCATTCCAACCTTAGTTCCAGTTAGTAATGGTTGCACAGTGCCTGTTTTATCAATTAAATGCGGGTAAGGCGAAGTTGGAGTGTTTTCATTCTCTTTCACTCTCTCACTCTTAGTCAATTCGCCGCAAGCAAGGCGATAATGTCACTAAGACGCAAGGAGGCTACTAGGAGTTGTTAATATCAAGCAATCATTATCTTGGAATATCTACCCATCTGTAGCTATTTTTCCGCGCGCCCACTCAATGAAATATAGCACAGAGCCGGGTTTAAGATATGAATTCTATGCGTACATAGAAGTGATAGCAAAATTTGTACATTTTCTTTGCCACTAGGTCGCAAGGGGCTACTGGAAATGAAAGAGAATAATGCGGGTTTCTGGGTAAATGTCCAGAACCGGAAACCCACTACTCAACAGGGAACAAGGGATAAACCTCTATTCCTGTTCAAAAGACAAAAGGGGCGTGTGAACTGGACGATAGGCGAACCTATCCACTCCTATTGAGGAGAAAAAAAATATGAGTAAATAAAATTTCAGAGTTCAGATGGAGACGTTAGAAGTATAGAGTTGAAGTAGACTTTACAAGGAACCGGAAATCCAATTCTAAACAAAAAAAGAAAGAGATAAAAACTTATTCCCGTTTAAAAGACCAGGGAGGAGTGTGAACCAGGTGATAGACAAACCTATCTACTCCTCTTGGGTACAGTCTTGAATAGGAATTTTTTGTTAAATACTCATTTCGAATAAAAATCAACTACTTACTTCGGTACTCTCTGGATGCAAGCAGGTCTCGCCATTTTCCATATTACAATAAACTTCGAAAGCATCGATGGTAGATTCGCCATTAGGATCAATGAAGTATTTGCCTGAAAGTAAAGAAAAGAAGAAGCGTCAGGAAAGATTAAAAAAATACTTTGATATAAACCCTACTTCGTGGTTTAATAATTTAATTTTATAGGACTTCATAGAAAACAATATTTTTAAGATAATTTATTTTTCCTTTTTAACAGCGAAAAATAGATTCTTGGGATTTCTTACTCTTGAGCATGTAACACACAGCTGGTCATGTGTAACTATTTCTTTCTGGAGTCAAATGCCAAATTTATGAAGCGTTTAGCCTTGAAATTTGTTTATAGTTCTCACAAACTGGAAACTGAATTCTCGTATATATAAAAGCACAAAGAAAAGATATGCAAAAACGCATTGCATTTTTAATAGGTATTTGTTATTTTAATCATTAAAAATATGGGGAGTATTTTGTATGTTAAATAATAAGTTTTAATTTTTCAAAAAAAAAAAAAAAAAAATAAATAAATAAATAAATAAATAAACGAAAATTTATTGTACTAACCTATGTACCCTAGTAAAACTAACTGTACTTTGTACCCTTTTAACTGTTTGATCTTCTCTCCAAAATTTGGTTTTGATCGATCAATGTATGGCTATTTTAGAGGGTGTGACGGACGGACGGAGGGACAAACGAATGTCACAAAATTTAAAAATAGATTGAGAATCACTAATTTAAATTATGTATATACGTTCTAAAAGCATCCATGAATTACTATTCATTCTCCGTTACGTTCAAGGTAACGTTGTGGGCATGTTGCAGAGTCTGAAAAAAAAAAAAGTTTTTGCTATCTCTGTGTAACGTTGGCGAAAAAGTTGTAGCGACGCCATTTTGTTTCCTGGAAATATAGCATTATGGGCGATAGGCCTCATGTTGAATTAACCCTTTAAATGAATAGATCAATGCCCTTTTGTGAAGGAAGGATTAAATACACATTTTCTTGTGTATTTAACGGTGGAATATATTGCGTTAAATTCACTTATTCTTATGATTGGTGTGATGAAGGCAACCATACTTACTCATCTCCCACTATAAAAGTATTAGTCAAAGTTGATATATTTGCATTGAATAAAGCGTCATTTCAAGCTTAATGGTTCGTCTATTTTGCTTTGCAGTTGGAGACAGAAAGTAACGACTGTAATATGAAGGTTATGTCCGAACAAATTAATATTTCTATTAAAGGAAGCGCTGTTTTAGCAATTATGAATTCTTTTTGTTTCCATTGGTCGTGTATTAAAGAGAATGTCAGTTTAATTTAAGTGTGAATTACAAATTGGACATAATATGACGAATATTAGAAGTGAAATGTGTCAATTTGTATAAACGTAAGAACGAACGTAATAAATAAAATTTAAATATTTTAAATGCTGAAATATAACTTTGAATTAATTCACTCCCAACATAGCGAAATACTTCATATTTACAAAAGTGTTGTCCTCCTTCAGTCTTTAGGTTGGTAAGTAGGTAGGTAGGTAGATAAATAGAAAAGAAGAGAGATAGATAGAAAGGATGAGAGAGAGAGAGATACCAAGGATCAGAGAGAGAAACTTACCACTCTCCAATTTTTGTTCATTACGTATAAGAAGGTCACGGCAAGTTGCACCAGGATCGTTCTTGGTACCCTTTGGTTTCCTTGTACGTTCAATGGCCCAGGCTACCTGGTTAATGACATCAACTTCATCGGGTTGTGCCTCATCACCCTAATAAAGAAAACAATCATTAAATAAAAGCTTACTACTATTGTCATTGTCAAATTATAAGTATTATATTTACATATATTAATGACAATGGAAAAAACAAAATTTGTGTGACTAGTTTTGTCCTTTAGATCATCAACTGACTAAAGTAATGTTTCCGTTGTTCTATCTACACATGCGCACAAAAAGGAGGGAAGGCTTTAAACTTTATTTTAATTTGTTCTGTCATTAATTTTTTTTTTTTTAATATATTCTGGTATATAAAAATTTAATACATAATTTTCTATCACGTTTGCGTATATATATATTTTTAACGCACTGAATGTAACAACATTTATGGGACAATTTTTGACGTGTATTTATTTTGGTTGGCCTTTATCGTAATTACTTAAAGAGACATTCAGCTGCTGTTAGTAAACAGTGTCGATAGGAAATAAAAAATAAGATCTTGACAAGGCTTGAACTCGCGTGTCTCCTTTCGTGAAGAACTTATCGAATGGCTCTGTGCATTGAGTTAAGAAAGCAACAGACGATCAAGTCTTAGACTACAAATTTATTCTTCGTTTTGACAGAACGCCTAGCCCTGTCACTTGTCTGTCCATATTTGCCGCGATCACGTGATATTTGGGTCGCAGCCACTTGTTCTGCAGCCATATCGGTAGTGGTTTCTTGGACAAGATAACCTGATGGAGCTCAACCCTCTCCATGTTGGTTTGAATTCAGAGTTTTCTCTACCATCCAACGATACAGGGCTCAATTAGGAGAAGAGATGGATTCATGCCTTTCCCAAAATATTCTTAAGTAAATCTATGCAATGAACACGACTGGAATTCGAACTGTTCTGATCCCTATTCCGAGCCTCTATCCATTGCACCACCGCGCATCCAATATAATATATGGTAGTAATCTGTATTATTATATTATTAATGTGTATTATATAATTATAATACTTGTATAATTACTAATCTGTATTAACACCTAACGGCTTCTTCGCAAGCTAAAGGGAAGTAATCCCATATTACTTCCAGTAAACACAACCATGAACAAGGCTATGACAGTAAAAGCTATGAGCAATTTATTTTTACTTACATAATAACCTTCTGCTGGATCTGGTCCTTTGGGTCCTTGCATGCTGGGGAATGGCGTGTAGCTGGGAGCGTAACCCTAAAAATAATGATAGACAATGAAGTGAATAAAATAGATAAATTTTATTATGGAAATAAGTATTTTTAAAGAACTCATATGTGAATTTAAATCGAAATATTTCGCTTTTTTATATATATATATATATATATATATATATATATATGATACCAAAGAAAAAACAGAAAAAAGTTCAGTAATTTCATTATTATTTCAAGTTATATACTCACAGGAGGTCCGGGTGGTCCTGGGGGTCCGGGATTTCCCTAAAAGTGATTAAAATAAAGTAAATAGTAAAGAAGGAAAATTATGCCAAATGTATAAGTGAAAATTATAATTACTTTTTTTTTAATATATATATATTAAAAACACCAAATCTCATTAACGGAATTTTCCTATCAACGCTGACATAGCAGTGACAGACATGGCCCCCTAATAAAATATTCTTGAGAGGAAACTGATCATTTGCGAGATGAAATGCCTGAGGAAAGCAGTGAACAAGACTAGGCGAGGCAAGTTCAGGAATGAAGTAATACCAGATGGTAGGATCAATACCAATCATACAACACATCAAATTACAGAGGATCACGTGGTTCGACACCTCACTCGTATATCTATGATAACCAACTAGCTCTACGAGCATACACCCTCAGGTACACTGGCTGGAGAGCGAGAGGCAGACCAAGAAGACGCTGAGTCGCTCTCAGAGCCCACGAGAGATCTCTCCTCCTCCAGGGCATTCGACTTGCCGCTGACAGTTGATTGTGTCTCCCCACAACGCCTAACAGCACAAGAGGAAGGAAAAACTAAACTAAAACTAAACTATTGAAAGACATTTTTTTTAAAAAGAATTTTAAAAGATTAAATTTATGTAAATCGTATAAGCTTTCCAGAGTTGTCATCCTTGACATGAGCTAATATTTATTTAGCCTTTATTTTTGCCGGGAAGATGGTCGTGGTTATATATATATATATATATATATATATATATATATATATACGAAAACCTGAACCACGGTAACTTTGTCTCAACAGGTGAGATGATCTGTAACTATTCATCATACTTAAAATATGAAGTGGTGTATATAACAACTATGCTAACAATGATTATAGTTTCTAGAAGAGATCCTATCCTCTGGCGTGCTAGCTGGTATGGTCATCGCGAGATTTGAACTCAGATCTCATGGTCAGAAAGTGAATGGTCTAATCGCTCAGCCATAAAAGTACAGCTGAAACTGTACTTTCATGTTAATTGTTCTGATCAACCTGGAGATTATGAATTTAAACGTACTACCAGATTGGCGACAAGGCTTCATCATTTAGAAAGTAGAAATGGCTAAATGTCGCTGTAAATTATGTTTCTATTCTCGCACTTCTTGCTTGTGGAACTCTTCCAGTCAAAATTGATCCTCAAAAATTTAAATGCAATGTCAATTGTTATCTTCTATCTTTTAAATTCTTGTTCTTCTATTCTTCTCATTCTTTAATAGTGTTTTTTCTGGTACTTGCGAAGTATCTGTCGCAACTTTTTGAATAGCGTTTCTTACGGATTGTCTGTGTATTCGTGATCATTTATAAAGTAAGATGTGGTATTTAAAATGTTTTTTTTAGACTACTAAATGAATCTTTGGGATAGTATATTTTTAGACACATCTCTATTTGTGAAAAAGTTGGAAAATTAATTTAAAGAGTGGTGACAGATATAGTCATTTTTTTTCTTATATTCTTTCCTACTCAGTAACCCATACGTCTCTGTGGCTTTATTGCCTTCATCGAGGTAAAAATGAAGAAAAAAAACTTACTGGTCGGCCATCGCTTCCAGGTGGTCCACGTGCTCCCTGCAATGAGATTGTAATAAATAAATAAATATGTTTTAAAAATAGCATGTACAAGAGATGTTTCATATTAAATAAATCTATTTCATCAATATTTGTTAAGAAAAACAATATTATATATATATATAACAAAATTTACTTACACGTTGTCCTGGAACTCCGGAAGGTCCGGCTTCACCATCTTTACCGGGATTACCACGGGGTCCGTCACGTCCCTAGAAGTTAAAAAAAAATAATAATATAGAAAAGATACGCAAAATAAAAAAGTTTGTCACTGAAGAAAATGAAGGCACATCATATCTCACAACTTAAACTTCATAAATAAGAGAAATGTACTTCTTACTGTGGTGCATAATCGACTAATAATTGTTGTTAATAAAGAATGTACTATCCATTAAAAAGAGAAATCCGACTTACTCTTCCTCCCATAGCTCCGGGAGGTCCAGCTGGTCCCATTTCTCCGACTTGTCCCTGTAATATTCACAAATGGAAAAAAAATATTATGACAAGTAAAAAAATATTTCTTTGTAGTTACGCAGTTTAAAACAAGTGTTTTTTTTTATTTATTTAGCTATCATTTTATTTTATTTATTACTCGCTTAGCATTGTCCTATGTCCAACATCAACACCTTTTTAGATATCTGTATTTTTTTTTTTTTCAAATTTAGAACGTTAGTTTAATTTCAGTTGCGCTAACATTATATATCAAGAGCCCTCTGGCTGCTCTTTCGCTATTTCCATGGCATATGTTCTGACGAACTACATTCCCTAATCCCGCTTTAACACCTCATTTGCCCCCCCACCATTCCACACTTTTTATTTTGTGTCTGATTCCATGTCGATTATTGGCTCTAAAAGTATGTAACAGTGTGAACAGCAAATAAGTAAAACATGACTAGATCCGTTTAACTAATGCGTTTATACATTACTGTATTTTCTTGTGTATAATACGAGATATTTTGAACGAAAATTAAAGGCGAAGAAAAAGCTGGGCACTCGTATTAGACACTAGTGCACGTTTCCAGAAATTTTTACTCAGCTTAAAAAAACCTCTTATTTGAAGCAGAAAAATTACAAATACGCTCAGTTAGTGCAATAGATAATAGAACACAAAGTAGATAAGTGTTGATAATTATTTACAAAAGGTGTTTGATATGTCGGTCATATTTGTTCTTTGGGAATCAGTGTAATTGAACGTCTTTTGTCTCAAAGACAGGAAATCCAGCGAAATTAATTTGAAAAAATAATAAGGTGAATTCACAATATCTGTCATGTTTTGAAAGCATTAATGTTACTTCAAAGGGATTTCTACGAAAATTCGGAAATAAGTTTTGGAACGGAAAATAGAAGAAATATATGTACGTCATCGAGATTTATTGGATAATATTGTATGACTTTTCAAAATAATTTACATAGGGATGGCTATACTACGGGGTCGTAGGATGTAATTTATTACTTATTCAGTTTTTAGCTTCAATAAACACTGGGTTGTATTATACTCAAGAGTGTAATTTATTCAGCTTTTAGCTTAAAAATACAGGGTCAAAACACAAAAATATGGTATACATAATAATCCAAGATATATCAACATTTTGAGTGACTTACCTGAGGTCCTGGGTTTCCTGGCATACCAGGGGATCCCATCCATCCTTTGTCTCCCTAAAAAAGTTAAAAATAAAAATAAGCAAAGCTTGATTATAACTGTCGATACCTAAAGACAAAAAGGACCAACAAATTCATATGATGTGTTTTGTTTATAGATAGGCATAAAACGAAAACATCTTTTCTTCTTTTAGCATACTTTATCTTGACAAGCGTTAGACTAAACCAAACATGTAATATTGCTGCCATATCTAGGTTGGATGTGTTCAATCCTTCCTTTCTAGCTTTGACAGTGTTCGAAAGAGTTTTTTAGTTCTTGTGGGTAAAGAATTATTCTCCACTCTGCGGGTTTTTTCCCCCACAGACGTGACGTTGTAAGTCTAATGCTACAGGATCCTGTTGATGAAAGAAGTACTGTTAAATGAACTCCTAACATTTCCAGACCGGTGGATTGGAAGGGGTGGCCTAATTCTCTGGCCAGCTCCTTCATATGTCACACCCCTGGACATTTTTCTATGGGGTTATAAAAAAAGATAGCGTGTATCAAAGATACGGTTCATCACTGATCTAAATCAAAAGATCACTGATGCTATTGCCACCATTAATGAGGCTATGCTACAGCGAACACGACAAGAAATCGAGTATCGTTTTGATGTGGCGCCCTTAATGAGTAGATATTGAAGCTTTTAACTAATTTATTAGTTAAAAAGAAGTTTCAATATCTACTCCTCATATGATAGATTTTGAAACAAATAAAGAACGTTTATAAATTGTATCGTTATATCCTAATTTCATTATCCTATTATTCTGTAGTGTCAGATTCGGCTCTATATTTGCTCTCTATTGACACACATTATATATTAATTATATATAGGAAATCGCTTACACTTGCTATGTGCATGGAACTTTATTAAGTAGCAACTTAAGTAGCATCGTAGGGTGAGAAAAAGATAAATAATTTTTCTTAGTGTATATATATATATATATATATATATATATATATAGATAGATACACCTAGTGAGCCAAAAGTTTGTTTGGCTCACTAGGTCTGCTCTACGGTTGTATTGAGCTCTTTTGTTAGTTAGTTGTTTACTCGTATCGGGGTTTTTTCTTTGGGCTTCAAACCTACATCTGTACGATTTTTTTCGACAGATTTCATGTTTGTAGCTCTTTCTTTTTTTAAAACCTTTTTTTCCCTTGAGATTGATTTGATTATTGGCAAATCAAAAATTCGAGGATTTTCGAAACGAGTATAGTTATCTATATTTGTATGTATGTATGTATATATATATACGAAATGAAAAGAAGAGAGTGTGTTTTACCTTATCTCCCATGATTCCGCGTTCTCCAGCGTCTCCAGCAGCTCCCATGGCACCCTGAAAAGTTAAATGGGTAGAATGTTTAGAAGAAAATCCTCGTTCATCACAGTTTTTAATAACAAACAATGAAAGTATAACCAGCAAAACATTTTGTAGATCATCCGCATAAAAATCTAACACATTTTTTGCTAATGTTTGTTTATACCAGCGAACTATTATTCATATATATATATGTAAGAAAAAGACAAACGTTTACATAGCTTATACCTTTTTTCATCGGCCCAGATGCTCTGATTAGCTTAAAAGAACTGCTCTTTAGGGTTTTAGTAATAACACTGTGTAGTCTTGTTTACTTAAATCAATTTTTTAAGAACATTACACTGACCGTTGGAACACTTAAAAAATCCACAAATAAAATCCGGGCGTTTGCTAATATCACACAAAGGAATTGATATAATTATGGATTATGAAATAAAGCAAATTAAACTCGTATGTTTAACTGGGGCAAAATATAATCAAAATATTCCCTTCGGTCAATCTCGATATAGCTCGACATGTTTGATAAAGCCAGATTATTTTCCCGTATAGGCATTTCACACCATGTTTTAGCATGTAACTTCTTCCATGAAAATCGATAGTTATATATTGAGCAACACGCTGATTTTACGCTACTCTATAAGTTAAGGGAAAAAAACGGGCTGACGGCCATATCACGTCGAAATACCGGTTCTTGTACTAACCTGATCAGTACCTAGATGGATAACCGCTTGGGAAAACCAGCCGATGTAAACTTGTTCGGCTGGTGTAAAGCATAAGGGCTAGGAATTTTTAATCGGTCAGGTTCATTATGTTTACTTAGGAGCAAATATCCTTGGGAAAGGGTTGAATCAACTTCTTCCCTTTAATTATGGGTTAATTAATACGACTTGTATCAGTAACTTATCTCCAAAAACTATTACAATCTAAAAAATATTTTCTGGCTGCAAAGGGTTGATAAACCGTAATAAAAAGGAAACAATTATACACAAAGGAAAACAGTTCTGGGTTCATTGATAAAACTCTTTTCAAGTCAGTTTTGATTACTTTTCTTCCAGGGACAAGGGCAGGTTTTCTTTTAAAAAGTTACATAAGCATAAAGCACATTTCCAGGAAAAATATACTTACAGCAGGTCCACGGGGTCCATTTGGTCCTTGAATTCCAGCGGCACCACGTTCTCCCTAAAAATTAAGAAAATACAAGAAATATTATTTTATATATTCTCCACCTATCTTTCTAGAGGTTACAAGAATTTTTTAGAACACGAAAAATAAGGATTTTAATATTATGCAGTGTGCGTTTGGTTATTTAATGGCAGCAAAAATCAGCGCCATTGAAACGGCAAACGTAGACCGCAGAAACAGTAAAACTGATTTTCATTGGCTGATATCCAAAAAGAATCAAACGAAATCACGACACAGTGAACCAACTTTCCTAGCAAGAGATGCGCTTTCCTGAAGGTTAGCATCAGCCATGCTGATAAAATGTAGAAAGGGTTCTCTCAGACGATTAAGAGATCAATTCTCTGATGACCGTCTCATTGTCTAGGTCAAATAAATCTGGTGAGAACATGCATTTTGCTCATCTTTCTATTTTGTGCATTCACTGAACTGGGTGGCACTCAGTGCATTTTAAACTCACTACACAGATGAATTGGTATGTAAAATCATTTTCTTTAACCATTGCGCTACGGTAAAATAAAATCTTATTTCTAAACTCTTTAATAATTTCACTCCAATCAAGGCAATAAAGCCGCTAAAACACAAGGGAGTCACTGGGTGTAAAATTATAAGAACATTTTATCATAAAAGTTACGGTTACATCTGGTCATTTCAATTGTATGATAAGCCCTTGGCGCCAAATTAAACTCATAAAGTCAAGGCTACCAAAGAGAAAAGTTAATCAGGGCAATTATCAAAATATTTATAGAAAACAGACAGGGTAGCTACGTTACGGCGGTGGGAAAGTGACTGCAGCCGAGACGCCAGGTCAGGACCAATAATATTGCAGAGTCTTCTTTGTATTGTGTTCTTTGTATGAAGAATCTCTGAATACACAGCAAGAACACTAGACCAGATGTGACAGCAATATTCGAAACATTGACGAATGGTAGACTTATAAATGTGAAAGATTCTGTCAAAAAAATGTCTCGTAGAACACAGAGAACCAATTTTCTCAGCAGCAGATCTAGCAATTGATTTGATATAATCTTTGCCATTTCATGTCAGCCGGAAAATGTTACATGTTTGTTGATTATCTAAAATTGAAATCGGTCTTTATAGGAGAAATATAAATAAATAACTTCGAAAAATGTATAAATCAGAAGTTGAACTTAACACACGATCGACGAATGCACGACCATGTTTGAAAGACGAGTGCCTATATATATATACTACTATTGAATGCAAGAAAATAAAAAGAATATGAAAGAAAAATATGTAAAAACAAGATTTTACTTACTCTCTCGCCTCTCTCTCCGGTAGAGCCAGCGGGTCCGGATGGTCCAACCATTCCCTAAGGTGAGATAAGTTGACATTTATGAAGATTTTATCAACAAAACAAAGGAAAAGAAACCAGGCTTAAATATTTTTAGTAAAAAAAAATGCGGTTTTCAAGTTCTTTTTGAAGCAAACACTGTTGTACATCCCATAAAAGTAAAATTGTTTACACTGTAAACTCGAACGAGGATTGCGGTATGTTCGAATAACGGTAGGATCATTTCCTTTTTAATTTTAAATCTATATGTCTATCTATATATCTATATTGATGTAATGGAATAACTCGTCACACCCATGAGTGACTACAGTATAGGTAGTAACTACCTATAGTGTCTGTAAGTCAACGAACTACAGAGTATAGCTGGGATCTGTTGAGTACGACTCAGACTTACGGAGAACTATCGACCTTCTAGTAGTAGCACTCACTACTAGATTGACTTGCGAAGACTTTGTTACCTTTAGCCTTATTGTACTGGTTTTACAATGAAACTTTACTTATTTTATCCACCGTGTTTTTCAAGTATATATTCCTATTAGCAAGGAATATAACACACACACACACACACATATATATATATATATGTGAAAATATATAGAAAATAGGAAGGAACTGGTTAGGTAAATAGTTCAAAGTTCCTTAGTATTTTAGTTATTATTTTTAAAAAATAGTGCTCGATACAAAAGTAGAGCATAAATATAATTATTTATTTAATTATTTTTTTAAATCATATTTTTTTAATCATATTTTTAAATAAATAATTATATATATATATATATATATATATATATATAACTGAATTAGCATGATAGAAATTACGGACCAAGAAACATAGTGACTCGGAAAGAGCCGAGCTCAAATTCCAGTCGAGTTCACTTAGGCGGAAATATATGAAGCCATTTTTTTCTCCCTCCAGCTATAGGTTAAATAGTAAGTCAGACTGGGACCTCTAGCCTTGGTTGGCAACCAGTCTAAGAGAAAGACAACTCGGAATTCAAAGCAAGGGAAGTGCTGTATGGGGACCTGGTAGCTCACTATGCGCACCAGTTCTCTGTATTTTGTTTGTTCTTCCGACAAGTATAAATTGTTCTACATAAGCCTTCACTTATTTCATCAAATGATATTAGTGTGGTAGTCGGACTGATAAGTTGTTGGAACTGAGTTATTGGACCGCTATAGATCGAAAATGACGGGAGAGTTCATTATATATACAGGGTGATTGAAAAGTAACTCCCTATTTTATGTATAATGGATTCTCCCGTCAAACTATTTTTTACAAGACGGGAGAATCCATTATACATAAGATAACAAGTTATTTTTCAATCACCTTGTATGTGTGTGTATATATATATATATATATATATATATATATATATATATATATATATATACGTTTCATTAAATAATATAGGCATATTGTGTCTACTTATTTTTATAGGAGGCCTTTCTAGTTGTCTAATCAGTTTCTTATTAAGGTGAAATTCATTAAGGAAGGCGCCGTAGTTTTTTCTAACTACTTTCGATCTTTTCCGAGATCATCTTCAGAGGTAAATTACAAAGCCAAATTTATTGTAACAGCGATAATTTAATAGAAGAACCGATTTTTCGCTGGAAACTTTTGCATGCACCTAACAAATTCGTCTCTAGAATATATTCAAAATATTTGTTCATTTTATTTCGTAGAAAATGTACTTTAACTCGAACGGACTTTTTTTTTTTTTTTTAATATATATATATATATATATATATATATATATATGTCAACCTTGAACTAATGAAAAGTGCATATATAAAAGAAAAACGAGAAATACAAAAGTCAATTGCTGATAACCCCTGACGAATGATGAACGGAGAGATTGCTGGAGAGTCCGTCAACGAAAGAGTCAGGTTGCTGAAGGTAAACCCAATCAGCTAAATGAGAAACTTGTATATTTGTAAAATATATCTCAATGACATTGCTGACATTAACCTTCTAGAGGTGGTCAACAGTACTGGTGAAATAATTCTATAAACTCTGGACATTTTCATCATAAATTTGATCGTTGCGACAGATTATAAGCAAACAGGAAGAATGCAATAAGTAGACGTCATGATAGATAGATAGATAGATAGATATAGATAGAGATATAGAGAGAGATATAGAGAGATATAGAGATAGAGATAGATAGATAGATAGAGATAGATAGAGAGGGAGAGAGAGATAGAGAGAGATATAGAGATAGAGAGAGATAGATAGAGATATAGAGATAGAGAGAGATAGATAGAGATAGATAGATAGAGATAGATAGAGATAGATAGAGAGGGAGAGATAGAGAGAGATAGAGGTAGAGAGAGATTTGTTAAGATTAATCGAGAGATTCCATTTTTCAAAATTTCGGGCCTCTTATTTAATATCACTTACTTGAATGCCAGGGGGTCCTTGAGGTCCGGGAGCTCCAGGAGCACCACTTGGTCCTTTGTCACCTGGGCGTCCTAAAGCACCAGGGAGACCACGTTGTCCAGCTTCACCCTGCAAATTTTCAAATTGAAAGAAATAATTAGAATTGAACATAAGGATAAACTAGACAGATATTGGTGTGAAAAATCAATACTTGTATACATTTTATCATTTTGTTTTTGTGTTTTCTTTATAACAAAAATTGTGAAAGAATAAAAGTAAATAGATAATTGTGAAGTATTTTGCACGTTTTCTTTTCGTATTTCAAAAAATTTTATTCAGAATTAAACATGAATTTCCAAAGAGAAGTGTTAAAAAAGCATATTTATTTTGTTTTATGGTGATTCTCTAAGCGTAGCTTAGGTGTGGCACAAGGCCAAAAATGTGGAGTACCCAATGAGGATCGAATTCATTACTTAGTCGCAATTGATCTAGCAAGACAAGATTGCTAACATTACATCACCTCGAGATGCTCAAGAGGTTATTTTTTAGATGTGGCACAAAGTCAAAAGTGTGGAGTACCAAGTAATATTCGAATTCACTACTCAGTACTAAGTAATCTAGCAAGACAAGTTTGTTAATCATTAACACCACGTCGAAGTGCCTTTTTTTTTCTCTTACGCATTTGTTAATTAAAACGTTTTTAGAAACCTCGTTTCCAATCTTCGAGCATTAGGTGTCGTTTAACTCAATAGGGTATATTACTTGTGGAAAGTGATAAAACTATAGGCTTCCTCCCAGTTTTAGCTATCTCACTCTTCGCAGAAAGAAAATAAATGAATTATGGGTCTATTCTGCGGAGACTTTCCACCGATATACAGTAAAATCCTAATGCACTTTTCTTTGATTCTGTGTATTACCTCAGAAAATACATATAAGTATATATTATTACAATGAAATGTGACACATTCATTTACTGTATATAAAAAGAAAAACCACTTACAGCAGGTCCAGCTTCTCCGGGGTTTCCAGCAGGTCCGGGGTGTCCAACAGGTCCCATAGGTCCTGGTGGTCCATCAACTCCGTTTCTTCCGGGTTCACCGGGGGTACCCTGTAGCATAAACAAATAAATGAATTACAAATAGATACATTTTTGCAAGAAGAGAATACCAGCTAAGTATAAAGGACTATTAATGCTAAATATGACAAATAAAACGCTACCCTAACAACAGTCAGAGAGAAATATCCAGACGGATAGTGAGGAAAAAAAGAAAAAGAAAAAAATAGAAATCAGTGAAAAAGTAGGTAATAAGGGGAAAGCAGTGTGGCATTAGAATCAAATCATTTTTTTGTAAAAATCTGTATGACAAAATTTAAATCACTTAAAATTAATGAACACATATGCTTTAGAAAGGATAAAATTAATTAGTTAAATTAAGAGTTATACATGAGCGTATGGTTTTATTTCATTCTGTTGATCGAAAGTTTGTATGTTACTGAGGACACACCACGCACCAGCAAGATCAGACAGCCGATGTCTGCTCAGGCCAATGCTCTAGGTTTGTAGGTATAGCAATATAGCCGCGGATGTTCGTAAGGCAACATCTTATCTAATGAAAAACCGAAATGTATATGTGTTTACAGTGTTAGATTAGTTTTATTTTGAATTGGCAGTATATCTAATACTAACAAAGAATTTTCGTCATATTGGCGTGGAAAGTGGTGTTAAGGATGTTGACTTGGAACTAAAGTGGGTGGCGTCAGCTACAAAAATTATTGGAGAATTAATGATTTAAACTAAGAACGTTTTGAATTTTACTTACAGCTGCTCCGGATGCTCCAGAAGGTCCTGCTTCTCCCTGAGCACCAGGGAATCCAGGTCCACCACGTTCACCTTGAGGTCCAGCAGGTCCGGGAGGTCCTGCAGGTCCCTTGAAAAAGAATAATTTTATTTTTATTAAATTTGGGGAAAATGTCGAATTTAATGCTAGAAATTTGGAACATTAACACCAACTATTTACTAAAGTTAGTTTTGTACAGGTTCACAATGTTGCATGATTTAAGTGTATTAAATTACAGGAAGGGAAGAGAAAAGATGAAGTCTTTGACTGCTTGTTTTGACGTCCAGACTAGTTTAAATCGTTCCCATCCTCATTGATGTTCCGTTTTTATAACGAAGGACAGATACCATTTCTTGACAAGGGCGGTAACTGTGGATTACTCTACACACGAGACTGAGGGGCTTTCTGAGAATCGAATTCATTACAGGATCATTTGTTTAGATGACTAGATTGCTAACCACTGCTCCATGTCGAAGATTTTCCTTTCCACTTTGAAAGAAAGAAAATAGCCAAGCAGCATGAATTAAATTCCAGCAGTTGAAACTGAATGAATAAACGTTTTTGGCTGCAATCTCCATAAGGGTCTATACTTTGACAGTCCATTGTGTTTCAAGTTCATTCCCAACCTCAGAAAGATTGTGTTGCCGCAATTTTACAACTAAGGAGACCTTAAAAATCAGCATTCCATCTTTTAAATCAGGGAATAAGTACCAATCATTATGGTAACTGGCATCATTGATTTTACTGTGAAATTATCAAAAATAAAATATAAATTGAATAAACTAAATACTTACTGTATTTCCGGGCTCTCCACGATCGCCTTGAACTCCGTCAGTTCCGGGGGTACCGGGTGGTCCAGTCTCTCCAGGACGTCCGGGAACTCCAGATTCTCCACGCTCTCCCTAATAATGGAAGAATTGTATTAAATCATTACTCATGATAATAAATAAATAAAAAATTTTCTAAGGTTTATACACGTCAGATTTGCTTTATAATGCATCGTGTTTTTATTTTGAGCTTCACTTTTATAAACAAATTGTTCTTTATTTTCTGATAATAAAAGGCTAATTTTTTATTTTGAACTCAAAAATCCCGTTTTGAAGATTACTTAGATTTGATTTTATATCGAAATTACTGAAATATATATTAACAGTATTCATTTTATTACTCTATTAGAGGGTACTAATAAATCCTCCCCACCCAAAAAAGAAAAATATCATTACTTCTCTTATTTCTTGTATATAAGAATTACCAACTGTATAAGAATTACCAACTGTATAAGAATTACCAACTGTATAAGAATTAGAGTCTGGACTATAAACAAAGAAACTGAGATTGATCTGTTGATTTCAAATTTCAGTTAAAGATTCATTTTAGCCCAAATACAGTTGAAAAAGATAAGAATATATATCTTCTCTCCGACGGCCAACTCGAGGTTAATAGACAGACAGACAGACTAAGCTATTTCGCCTTGAGTGACAATTAATCTAGCAGAAGCTTTTAATTCAGAAACCAGCCTGAAGATGAATGGGATCCATCAAATTATCTTGCTACTACAGCTGCAGTATATACGTGTTGAATCTAATGAGCTACAAGACGTTAATTTTAATGATTATATATTCGCTTATATTCCTAGGAAATTTATAGATTCACTTTTCCTTATGCTCAAACTCGTCATTAGCTATTGTGACAAAACATCACGTCGATTGCAGGGCTCTTTGGTCAGGTTCAGGTGCGCAACGACCCTACGACCACACCCGATTATTGGCCTGACGCCGAGGAAGATAACGCGAACATAAAACATTCTGTTGATCAAATGGAAGTTAAATTTTGAAGAATTGCGTTTGTTATTTGATTGGAATCATTGTTACTTACATGTGGGCCCATAGGTCCGGCAGGTCCAGGTTTACCAGGAAGGCCAGTTTCACCAGGTGTTCCCTGAGGTCCAGAATGTCCAGGGGCTCCAGCATTTCCAGGGGTTCCAGCGGAACCACGATCACCAGGTTTACCTTTGCGTCCGGCTTCTCCATTTTTACCCTACAAACAAGAAGATGAGTAGATGTTTTTCAATAGAAATTGGGTATAGACTGAGTATAGCTTACCACGCTCCCGTCTCTAACTTTCATCATTTTTTTGTGCTGACTAATATAATATTTCTTTGTTGAGAAAAAAATGTTTAGACGCTGTCTTTTGCTATTTCTCAGCTAAATTTAATTTGGTAAGAACTGCACCGAAAATCAGGAAGAAAAACAAACTTTCAACGGTCAAGATTTAACGCAGAACAGAACAGAACACACACACACACAACACACACACACACACACACACACACACACACACACACACACACACATATATATATATATATATATATTTTTTTTTCTTTTCATACACTTCGAAAATATAAGCAGTAAATTGCAGATAGCTCAGAAGAGTGGACGGACAGGTCCGCCTACGAAATTCTGGAGTCTGGATACTAAGATCAACCAGCTAAGTGAAAAAATTAATCATATTATATATATATATATATATATATATATATATATATATATATATATATATATATATATAGATAGATAGATAGATAGATATCATAGAAAGAGAGCGAGAGAAAAATTAGCTTTTTATTGTGGATTGTTATAGTAACGAGAAAGTTTTCAGGAAAATAGAAGCAAAAAAAGTTGAAATTTATTAGACAGGTTATGTGGAAATAAGTCTTGGGTGATTTGACACTCACGAGAAAACAGAGGGAAATAGTGAATAACCTCTCAGACAATCTTGTGTAAATGGATATCAGAACCGAGAGAGGTGATAAAGAACAGGCCTTATTAAAAGCTAAAAAAGAATAGGAAGCTGTGGAAAGACGTAATTCCTTACGCCCTGAATGAGCATGATACATAGAAGGAGGAGGAGAAGATACTGAGTTTAGGTCAATCCTGCCAGGGAACCTATACCTGTGCTGTGATGTTGGTTATCACAACTACGGCTCATTCGAAATTGCAAGCGGCCGTTTGCACTAAATGCCTATCAAAATGTAACAAATAGTTATCGTTAGTATCGATAACCATGAAAATTGTCGGAATGTCAGAGATGATTCATTTTTTTTTTTGCTAACAGCAGGCTGATCTGTTATGCCTACTGCTGGAATTTTGATGGATTAACGCCCCAGACGATAATTACAGCGGTGCGAGATTTGAAAAGAATCTCTCTCTTTCCTTGAGGATTTTCATAGCGAAAAGACGTATTTGTCTTGCTGTTGTCGGTATGTCAGTACCTCAGCTACAAACATTGAAGGTTTCTTTGAACTGTTCGCATTTAATTCCATTTCTCATTTTTCCCCTTTTTGTAATATGTCCTGTCAATACACCTGTTAATATTTATTTGTTTAAAATCCATGTTCTGTGTTTTAACTTTGCCCGGACTCGCATAATTCCGCCAATACTATTTGCGAGTCAAATGCATCAGCAGCATTAAAACTGATCAAAAGTGTTGAATCCTGCAACATGGCGCATAAAGTCGTCCACATTGATTTTACGGCGTTCAAGGAAAAGCAGATTACTTTATGACGCTTAACATTTAATACACTAAGTTTGTTTATTGAGCAAAAAGTTTGTTCTGCCACTTCAGATAATTTACTAAACGATAGTGTGTTTGAATTTCACGGTAGTGTTGTCTTATTCTGCTATGTCAACAAGAAAATGACTGACTGTGATCACGAACTAAGCTACTGTAGTTTAGGAGCTGACATATACAGTGGAAACGGAAGTAATATTAATAAATAAAGCAGAGTACTAAAGGTTAAGTGAACTATTACTCCGCCCTCCCCCAAAAAAAACTTATGTAATAGAGATAGAGAGAGAGAAAGAGAGAGAGAATGAGAAAGAGAGAAAGAGAAAGAGAGAAAGCGAGAAAGAGAAAGAGAGAGAGAGTGAGAGAGAGAGAAAGAGAGAAAGAAATAGATAGACAGTTCTTAATTGAAATGTAAAAGAGAAAACCAGTTCTTTAAGATTTTACTCTTCCACTTCCACTGAGTTAGAGATAACATGCATATTCCGATTTAGACTATTTGACCCGTTCATGTTTCATCTCTTTGTGAGTTACCGAAATTGGTCAGTCAGAAGACCGTCATTCCAGTGTCTCTCGGAATAACAATGAATCAGCTCAATATTATTGTCATATGTATAAATGTGTCTGCGTTTGTCTTAATACGTGTCTGTGTAACATATAAGTATAGTAACTTACAGCGGGGCCAGCAATTCCAGGTTCTCCAGTGGGTCCGCGTGGTCCAGCAGGTCCAGTTTGTCCGGCAGCTCCAACTTCACCAGTAGCACCAGTTGGTCCAGCAGGCCCCTAAAAAAAAAAAAAGAATACGATTTTGTATAAACATTTATTAAACTAAGTTTATTTTGGTAGAAGGTCGTAAATTTGAAGTCATCGAAATATGATCAACCTCTCTGCATAGCATGTGTTATTAACTAAACTAAATAGCCCACATTCGCCCGAGACTATTTTTCTTTATCCAGATAGGTCGCCACCAATTGCTTTGAGTTGTCATGCCCAGTAAAAGGGTCATTATTCAATTCTTAGCTCGTTTAATGGACTTCATCGAATATCACTACAAAATCGAAATAGTAATAACTCATCAAAGCTCAACTTATGCTATACTAGTTGGGCACCCAGTAAGAATCAAATTCCCTACACTAGCCAGTTGGTCAGCGAAACACTCTCCATTTATTTATTCATTTGAGCTTGATCTTGATGCAGGGCTAACAATCTTGGTGCTAAATGGCAAAACGGTTCCTCCGTGCATTTGATAAGTAGTAAAGATCGCTGAACTACAGAATGATATCTGAATCGTTTAACATTGCTGTCCGGTATCCTTAATCCCTTTTCAAATGCATAGTTTGGAGAATCAAGTCAAATCCAGGAAATCTATAACAATATTGGTGAAACAAATAAGATTATTAAAAACGCAGCATTAGTACTTACAGCAATTCCGGGTTGTCCTTGTGGTCCTGGGGGTCCAGGAAGACCGCGATTGCCAGCTTTTCCAGAAGGTCCTGATTCTCCACGAGGTCCAGGAACACCACGGTCTCCTTTCATGGCGGGTCCACCGATTGGTCCGGCAGGTCCAGCGGGTCCAGGGGCACCAACTTCTCCAGGGGGTCCGGATTCACCATCTTTACCACGTTGTCCAGGGGAACCCTAAAATGAAATAAAACAGCCTCATTTTAGTGAATACCTTAATCTTTACGGCAGATTTTAAATTTTGCTTGCGAGAAATATAAAATTAAATCGAATCGAAAAGTTTAAACGATTTTCATACTGTTGACTGTTAGATTTGAAAGTGATTAAAGAGATTGAGTGAAGAGATAAAATGTTATATAATTCTTAAAATGTTAATTGCCAAATACAAAGACAATTGCGTCTATACTTATGGTTTTACTTATAGATATCAGCTTACTTATTAGGCTGACTATACAGTTTAAACATGGAACTGAACACGGAAATACCGTGCAACAAGATTCTATCGTTTAATTTATGTGGAAACCACGCATCAAAACGACTAAAATAACCAAGATGGTGTCAGTTATATTTTTTCGTTTATGTGGAAGTAACACATCAAAAAGACTAACATAGCTTTGATGCTATAAATTTTTTCGATACTTGATTTGAGCATTTTGGGAATGTTAGCTATTTCATCATATTTTATAACGTTGTTTATTCTCGAGTGATGTTTTCATCACTGTAAACTTCAGTTGGTTAAGTTGATCGTGAAGCATCGTTTAACGAGAATTCCTAGTAGGAAATTTCGCAAATCATTTTTGACATGCTCGGTTATCTTTTCTATAAAATACACAAATCCTTTTTTCTTCATCAAATTCCATGCTCAATATCCGTGTCCTTTCCTTTTGCCTTTCTGACTAGTTGCAAGCACCAAGGTACTTGAAATCGTCTACTTGCTTCAGATGATTTCCTACTAATGTAATCATCCACGCTACACTTATATAATGAGGAGAGAGAATTTTTTCATTCTATCCATTATAAATCATAAAACATTTTTTAGATCAATTTTTTGAGAAATTGAAACTTACAGTATCTCCTTTGTGTCCAGGTCCTCCAGTAGGTCCGCGTTCACCGGGGAGTCCCTGAAGTAGAAATAGATATTTAATGAAAAATAACATTTTTAAAAAATACATAGGAATTTAAGAACAGATTGTTACTGCAAGTGCTGCCAATAAAATATTTCAGATACAGGATACCTAAAGTTACTAGGGGTCATCAAGGGAAGATGTGCTCCATTTCGGTGTCTGCCTCGTAACGTATTTCACTGCATACGAGACTTTCTCACCCGGTTCGGCTTGTTTACTGCTTGTCAACTACTAGACATGATAAAGTCAACTGAGGTAATTTTCTTTGATCCAGATCCAATAGCAAGTTTCTCAGTTGCAGGTTGGATATCCTTTAAGGTTGAGCTTACTCTTCTCTGCTTGATTCTAAACTCAGCCATTTCCGAAAGACTGATTGATTGATTTGATTTGTTTGTTTGTTTAACGGCATATCAACATTTTATGGGCCATTTAATGCCATTTTTTTTTTCAGTTACAGAAATTGATATTTCTATGTTAAATGTGTATTGTTGGTATTTTTTTTTGGTATTTTTTATATACATATAAAAAGGTATTTTTAATATTTTTATACTTTCATAGTGTTGTTTTTGTTTTGAAGTTCACTATTTACCCATACCTAGGCCCCTAACAAGTGCTATCACCCCGGGTATGTATGGAGCTGGGAACAACAGCTATTAAGTGGCTTTTCCACGCTCTTCAAAACACACAATCTCCCAATCAGAGGCTTTGCTACCGAATGTAGTTTATTGTCTTACCTCGGACTAATCTCAGAAAACAGACGCTTATGTATCAGGTACTTTTAAGTAATCAATATTTGAGGGATTCGAATATGGACAATAGCTTCCACTTCTGAGATATTGAATTATGATAACAGTTTAATTCTTTCCCCATTGGGATTGCAAGTTACATCGGAACAAAATTTCGACAAATTTGATCGATCTATCTATCTATATATATATATAATATAATAAAAAGACTTAAACACTAATATTCTATCCTCTTAGAATTATTTTCTATACAAATATATATGTATGAGTATGTATGTATGTATATATATTTATATATTTTTTGATTGCATATATGTATATTTTATATGTATTATCAATATATTTATATATATATATATATATATATATATATATATATATATATATATAAAGGCTTAAACACTAATATTCCATGGTCATAATTTATTCCATTGGAATCATAAATACGATCCAATTCATCAGACCTACAAATTCAAAAAAGGAAACAGAAAAACAACTCGGAATTAAAAATAGAATTTAGAGAGAGTGTAAGTATGAGAGTGTGGGACGAATGTTAGAGCTAAAGAGAGGGGTAACAGACGAGAGAAGGTGGGAGATTAAGACTTAACAGAGAGGAGTTTTAGAGAGGCGAGTTGAAGACGGTTAAGTGAGAGAAATATGAATGTTGTCGGATGTCTAATACATTAAAGATGTAACCGGAAAGAATACATTTTGTGGTGACATACACACACAATATAGACGATCTAATCTTAAAGATCAGAAGAAGAGGGATTCCACTTTCAGGAAAGCAACCCCACCATTTCCTTAACATACTTCATCATTTCCAGTATGGTTCGTTAAGATCTTCTATGCGCCTTGTCCCTTCAGGACATAGTTCTCCACAACTTCCTCTCCTTTGTAGTTTTAAGTATGTTTATTCACCTTAACTTCATTGATTGGTTTTTGTTTTCTGTTTACTGTTTATCAAACCTTTCTCTGTTATTTAAAGCCGAACCATATTTCAAGGGAGACTTACTTGCAATACACCGTGTTCTCAAACAGTCCACCATCTAAATACTCGACATTGCTTAATTTCAGTGATCGAACGAGGACCGGCGTTTTCAGCAAGATTGAATCTACGATATATATCTATAAACATTTCTATGTCTGTATATAACTTACCACAAGTCCAGGGGGTCCAGCTTCTCCGCGACTGCCAATAGGTCCTGGTGGCCCCTGAAAGAGTGATGAAAATCAGTGTAATTTCAAAATATTACATACACACACACACAGAGAGACAAACACACACATATATATATATAATGACGTAAGCATGAATAAAGAATAGTTGGATTTAAGGATTTACAGGGCACTTATACTCAGAATCAGAAATTTCTTGAGCGCATAAAGAAGGAGGGCTTGGAAAATTTAACACTCACAGGACATATAGAAGGCAAAATGGACAGGAGGCAGCAGTAGGCCACCTAACTGACCATCTTGTTTGAATAAGACTGACCCTTTTCATTGCTATCCTTTTTATACCACAATAAGTCAAATCGAATACAGTATCTTATTATACACTAATGAATGTGTTATGGTCCGGTTCCTTGTACCACGGTGATAGTCCAAGGTAGAACCAATGAAGAAGAACTCGAAGGCGGATATGGAATAACACAGATATATTACAAACAGGAATATATACAGAGAGGTAGAAAAGTGTTAGTACGAACAATCAGGTTTAGTAGTACTTGTCTGAACGCGACTCTGTTTCGGTCTGCTTCTGACTCGACTGACTGACTCGCTTGCTCTGACTCACTGACAGACTTCTGACGGACTTCACTCCAGACTTCAGACGGAACGGTATCTAGTTACCCCCCCACGAGGGCATCATGTGGCACAAGGCCGGTTTAACGTGGGATCTCCGAGCCCGTGGGCTTGGCCAAAAATATGCCCTTTGAACCCGTATACACGGGTTCAGGGTCGGTTTACCTCCCCGAAAGAGACTCCGCCCTTCGGCGTAGCCTCGTTCGGGTTCCTCCCCGCCCGAAGGCAGAGAGTTCAACTGATCAGCCGGTCAGCCGACTTCGTACGCAACTCCCTGCTTCCTCTTGAGGCGCAGTATTTATTACGTATGGAATGGTTCATTATGTTATTATGGGTAAGGTCCCATAACAGAATGCCATTCTTGATTGTTTGCATTCATGTATAAAGAATGCTACCTAAAATATCTCTGTGAGTGTTGAAGAAACACAAATGGGCCTATGCAGATGAGCATACTCTGAAATGGGTAGCTATGCTGAAGATAAGAACTCACACAGATTTACAATGTGCTTTCAGGTCGAAACATCTATAATGGTCGGGTCGAACATTTTTCAAAACATTTTTCGTTATTATAAATTTAATATTAACTTCCAAAGTCACATTTCTGTGTTTATCAGTCAAAGGGAAAATGGCAAATGTAAAATAAAAATTAAAAAGAAACTTACAGATTCTCCGGGAACACCAACAGGTCCAGCGGGTCCTCTCTCTCCGGGAGCACCAGGAGGTCCATCAGAACCACGATCACCAGGGAATCCGCGTTCACCCTGGAGAAGTGAAGAAAAGAAAGAAAAATAAGTTTTTCTCCAAAACAACCGATATCAAATGTGCTTAAATAAAATACCTATTTAATTTTATATAGCTGATAAGTAAAATCAACACTACAAAATGTTTTTTTTCTGAAGCTTACATTAGAAACTGGTAACATTTTATGGTTTAAATCTAACGTAAGACGTGAATTTACATTTGTGTCTTCTACTTGAAGAATTAATATACAATATTAATAATCGAAACATATTGAATATATCTGATTCTTGCATAAATGATACTTGTTTTACAAAGAAACACTTATTCAAAAAAATATATATTTAAACTCTCAAAATATAAGAAATATACGTAAATTAGGCATTCAGTTTCTTGTCTGTCAAAAAATATTATCAAGTTCAGTCATTAAGATAAAATTTTAATGCCGAATATCAGCATCATATCACGTTGGTGATCGATTCACCAAAATCTGAAGGCGTATCCGAATAATATAAGAGGTCTTTCAGAAACCAAACAAAATATTTAAAAAAATAGGAAACTCTTATTAGAAAGACAGAAAAGAGTGCGAAACTAATTTTGCGGCTTCCTCATGTTCTGTACATAATGTAAAAGTTATCATTTTTAAAAGGTTATACTTACTCGTTCTCCGGGAGTTCCAGCTTGTCCAGCAGGTCCAGAGGCACCACGCTCTCCAGGGGCTCCGTCATTTCCATTGTTACCAGGAGGTCCAGTGAGACCCTGAAATATGGGAAATAAAAAGTTGCTGAGAAAAGGAAAATTTTCTTTTCTGAGTATATGTCATAGAGAGAGAGAGAGAGAGAGAGAGAGAGAGGGGACCCAAAGAAACAAGAAATGCTGATAGATCGATCGAGAAAATAAGAAATATGATAGATAAATGGATCGAGAAAATAAGTAATAGATAGATAGATAGATGAATCGAGAAAATAAGAAAAGTAATAATAGATGGATCGAAAAAATAACAAAAGTAATAGATAGATAGATAGATAGATAGATAGATCGAGAAAATAACAAAAGTAATAGATAGATAGATAGATAGATAGATAGATAGATAGATAGATAGATAGGGAAAATAAGAAAAGTAATAGATAGATAGAGAAAATAAGAAAAGTAATAGATAGATAGATAGACAGACAGACAAACAGATAGATAGATAGATAGATAGATAGATAGATAGATAGACTGAAAGAACGAAAGAAAGAAAGAAAAAAAGAAAGAAATAGACTGATAGATAGATAGATAGATAGATAGATAGATAGATAGATAGATAGATAAAGAAAAGAAGCATTAATACCGGTTGAAATTTAAAGGAATCTTTTTATTAATATATCATCTACTTCATATCAAGTTGCAACTCACCTGGAAGCCTGGGGATCCGGCATTTCCGGGCAAACCACGTTCTCCTTGAGGTCCCTAAAATTGAAATTTAAAACAAAGTTAAAAAAAAAAATGAATGCAGTGATCCGTTTTCATATTATTTTACTTTATTTTACCCCGCTCATAGATATTAAAAGAAAGCGGGAAGAAAGGACTATCGATTGTAAAAAGTGTAAAATTTTTGAGAAGTGTTTTAACAGAAGAGGGAAAATGTTACCGTAGCGAAAGATGACTTCAAAAAACTAAACAAAGTATTAAGAAACAGAAAAAATTCGTTTGAAATAAAGATAATTGTGTTGATATCAATCCTCGTACATGGCAGCGAATGCTGGACAATCTCCTCACAGATAAAGTGGAGACTTGATGTAATATAGATATGGTTATACAGAAGGATGCTGAGAATTCAGTGAAGTGAATATGTAAATAACGAAGAGGTGTTAAATGTAAACGGACACATGCTTAAAATCAGAAAGCGAGGGTTGATATTTCTGGAACACATAATGAGGAAAGAAGGATTGGAGAATTTGACACTTACAGTATAGAAGGAAACTGAGTAATTTACCTAACGAGCTTGGATTGGAAAGGATTTATCATTATTATGTTTTGCCCTGGCTTAGTTTAATACGAGTTGCTCCCAATTCTCGACCAGTGTCTTCAAGAGACAATAAGTGTTTTGCATCAGAAGAAGCAAACAGATGAGGTGTCATGCAAATCAGAGAAAAAAAAATTGTAATTATGGTCAATTCGTGGAGAAAAATCTATGCAGGGTGTGAGAAGTAGCCATAAGGATGGTTCTTTCGCAATTCCCATATTTTCGGGCTGCCAAGAATTTGTTCCGCATATTGTTTGCTTTTTTCTGATATTATTTCTTGAACCTTAATAACTACGAGAAATGTTGTCTTGCGCTGCCACATTCTACTGATTTCTATCTCGAGGTCCTTGTATCTACTTTCTCCTTTAATTATTGCTGTTTTATAGTTTTTCTTTTTAATTTATTTCTTCCCTGGTCTGGAGGCGGATTCGTAAACAATTTAAGTACATTTTTAATGTTATGCTGCAACAAACAACGAAATTACCCAAATTTAGAAACCCTTTGATTTCACTTCAAACTTTTGTTACTTTAATAAACTGTTAATTTATGGTAATAATTGCAGTCTGAAGCCAACTGAAGAATTTCAGTAGCAGATTCAGAAAGTAATGATAAATTGGAAATGTGCCGAATCATGGGGTTGCCGGGCCACAGATATCAAGATTATTATCTCTTCACAAAGACGAATACAATAGTTTTTTTTTTTTTTATAGGATGTGTCTAGAATTTTCCCGTTTATCGCAGATTTTTCTAGACATTAGACCGAACATTTGCAATTAAAAACACCAATGGATACATAAGATCAGTAGTTCCCAAACTTTTTTCTCTGGGCGGCATCTTGCTCGCGTCCCGCCAAAATTGATGTAACAAAAAGTACATTTAATATAAAAAAAAAAAAACAGAGAGGGTCAAAGGGAGATAACCGCGGATTCGAAGGCAGAACATTATCATAGATAACTCTCTCCAAATTTTCAGCTACTAACTACTATATACTTAATACTTGATATAATTAAAAATACCGCAATGATAAAATCAGTCAGTAATTATATATAATTATTTATACTGGGACTCATACATGTAATTACAAACAATCCATAATAATATTTTAAATTTTGAAATCATATTTATTTTTAGCATATGAATTTTTTTTTAAAACTGTTTCTAAATCTTTCATTGTCTTTCAATCATTCCGCCTCACCTGCTATCCTCTTCCGCTGCACCTTGAGGTGCACCATTCTACCCCCCGAAGTCAGAAGTACGACCCGATGTCAGATTGTATGGGTCATACTAGAATAATAACATAACCCAATTTCCAAAGCAGTATTTAGGGTTAGTGTTGATTATATTCAGCTTTCAAAATGAAAGTATGACAAGCATTTTTACTCTTTGAAAAGAGATGAATAGAATATTTATACGTACTGAAGGTCCAGGTGCTCCAGTTGGTCCAGCTTCTCCGGGTGGGCCAGATTCACCAGTAAGACCGCGAGCTCCAATTGGTCCAGTGTCACCATCACGTCCAGCAGGTCCCTAATGATGAAAAGATACAAAAGTCCATTTAAAATATAGTCTCAGTTGAATTGGCTAGATGCAACCTTAATTTCTATGCTAACAGTTTCTTTTCTCGCACTTTTCGTTTGTGGAACTCTCATCCGACTTTATGCTTTCTAGCCAAATTTGATCTTCAAAAATTTAAATGCAATGTCAATCGTTATCTTCGCTCTTCTTAATTCTTTTTCATTTGTTATTTACACGCTTCAATCGTAATTTTCTCTCATACTCTCTAACATCCAGTAACCCCCCCCCCATTGCGTCTTAGTGGCTTTATTGCCTTGTTTGGTGTGAAATGATTAAAAATAATGTATTTATCTGGAAGAAGAAGTCAGGAGAAATTAATCGTACCTGATCACCCTGTGGTCCACTTAATCCCTGAAGTCCAGGAAGACCTTGAATACCTTGGGGTCCTTGTTCTCCAGTTTTACCATCAAATCCTGGGTTACCCTGGATAATGATAAGAAATCCATGAGTAATGAATAAATAGAAATAGGTAATCTTGCAAAATATCAAAATTGATGTTGTGGAATCGTAAAATTTTGCTTACAGGTTCTCCTGGTGCGCCCATAGCTCCATCTTGTCCTGGTTTTCCCATTGAACCCTACAAAGAGAAAAGAAGAAGTTAAATAATTTTCCAAAATGTCTTGTAATCTACATTGAATATATTAAAATTACATCTATATTATTTCTTATTAAGGCAGAAATTTTATTTCAAACTTTTTTCTTTTCGATATAAACAGACTATCAGAAACGGGCTGTTTGAAAGCAAATATGTAGCGAGCGAACTTTTCTAGTGAGATGGTGAATTTTGGACAAATTCCAAGTTTTTCTTCATATCTTTTCGTTTATTGGATTATAACAAAGCTAAACAACAGTAATAATTTCATTATCAATTGCTGAAAGAAATCACCCGAATGAACAGACAAAAACCTGGCATAACATTGGTCGTTCTTTAGTATCCCATGCAATATTCTACTGGCTAAATATTTAAGCTACGTTTCGTAGGAGATTAAAACACAAACATGTTAAAAAATCGCTACACAGTAGCAATTGTGTTTTAACAATACAAATGTGTCTCATCGGGCTATACTAAATTACTGGCAAGTGAACGATTAATTTCATTTCAAAAGTAGAATACTACATATATATATATAACGGAAGGCATGAATAAAATGAAGTACTTACGCGTGGTCCTGCTGGTCCGCGTCTACCTTGACGTCCCATAAGTCCCTGCAAAGGCAATCCAATATTGAATGAATGATCAAATATAACAATGGACCATGTACCCCCCACCACCCACTATACAAAGTATAATCGGTAATTTTTTATTCAAAATCTTTTTAATTTTTAGATCCTTAAAATTCATTTAACAGAAAGAATTAAAAATAGGAAGGTGTACATTATTGATTTATAGGTAAGGCAGGATTTTTATCAAATTATAATTGATAACGATTTTATTTATAAACTTATAATTAATAACGAATGTTACGGTGGTTATTAATGAATTAATATAATATTAAAGTGTATTTCAAAATATGAATATTTAATATAAAAAATCAAAAAATTTCGATATATTATAGAAAATGTTGACGGTGATGTGGATAAGACATGGAAATATCTAATTTCGTATTTGTTTGCATAGTTAACCATGATCATCCCCCCCCCCCTTATTTGACATTTGTTCTAAATTTGTTTATGGAATGATATGGAAGACGTACATCTTTTCCTGTTTCTCCGCGTTCTCCGGATGCGCCACGCTCACCAGATGGTCCGGGGGCACCAGCCATACCTGGAGATCCAGGGAATCCTCTCATACCGGGAGCACCCTTAAAAAGTCAAATAATTCATTAAATAAAAATATCTTTTTGAATCATGTAATAAATGCATTCGAAATTAGCACAAACTATTTTCATGCAAGTATAGAAAGAGATTAAAACATACAAATATAAAAAAACTTATTTAAAAGTACTGGAGAGTAAAGCCTACTTACACTTTCACCAATATTTCCTTGGGGTCCAGGGGCACCGGGAGGTCCAGCAGGTCCCTAAAATGATAAACATCGTAAATAAAAAATAAAATATCTATTATAATATAGACTGTAATAAGAAATTACTAACCGGGTCTATTATTATTGTGCCAATATTATAATTCTTTAAGGGTAATTGTTCTGATGAACTTTGCTCTATGGTACCTAGGATCTATGAATTTCATAGCAATACTATATTGGTAATATGGCTTCTTCGTTTTACAGTTGAAATGGATAGATCTAAACGTAAGTTCTATGCTAACAGTTTCTTTTCTCGCACTTATCACTTGTGAAAATCTCTTCTGGCTTCTTGCTTCCCAGAAAACTTTAAAAAAATTAAACGCAATGCCAATATTTTCTAATGTCTTGTCATTCCTTTTCTTTTAATGTTCTCGCTCCTTAATAATGTTTTACATTTTTTTTTCACACTCAGTAACCACCTCACGTCTTAGTAGGATAAAAGGATTAAAAGGGATTAGATTTTATTTTGCCGTAGCGCAATGGTTAAAGAAACCGATTCTACAGACTAATTCCCCAGTGTAATGAGTTTGAAACGTACTGAATGTCACACAGTTCAGTGAATACAGAAAATACAAAGAAAAGCAAGATGCATTTTCTTACTGGATTTATTTAACCCATACATTGAGGCGGCCATCAGAGAACTGATGCGCCTGCTAGGAGTTATTGTCGAATGACAGTTTTGATAGAAAACTCAGAAAGAACTCTTAAACAAATTAGTAAAGGAAAGCAAGAAGAAAGGACTAACTATTAACTGTAACTAAACAGAATACATATCTATTAGCCCAAGGTGCATTGGGGACATCAAAATGAAATATATGCAGATATTTAACTATCCGGCGAGTGTAATGACAGACGACAGAGCACGTAGCACCAGAGCCAGAAAGAACACTCAGAACCCCGCTTGAGTTTTAGCTGCTTTATTACCTTGCTTGGGGCAAATGATTAAAAAATATATAAAGAAATAGTAACTATTATTATTGTTAATCGATTTTTTAATACAATTTTCATTAAACTTTTTGTTGTGAGGGAGAAAATTCCCCTACAATTTTTAACTCGGCTGTCGGACGAAAGATATAAAAATACTCCTACATCAAGAGGAGCAGTAGCAGTAGCTTTTGCTGAAACAGTCATTGAGGACTAAATATTCTCTTCCCTAGGTTCTATTCTACATTATGTTTCCCTGTACCAAAAGGTAATAAACTTGTTGTTAAACCAATTCCGGTTTTCTACTGTTGTTTTCATAACTCAGTTACAACACTTTTCTTACAAAATATTCCACTTTACATTTCCCTAATTCATTGGAAAAAAAAACCCAATAAAAACGCAACAGTACTGAATATTTAATCTTGCTTGTTCTGTGTTAAATATGTACTTACTCTCTTTCCTTCAGGTCCAGAAAGTCCAGCAACACCGCGTTCTCCAGAAGCACCGGGTGCTCCACGGGGTCCCATCTCTCCGCTTGGGCCGGGACCGCCAGCGACTCCCTAAAAGAAGCAAAAACACAATGAGTTATAGTAAACAAATATAGATGAATTTTAGAAAACGAGAAACTTCTATTTTAAAGTTCAAATTTAAGGCAATTTCCCATCATTTGTATCAAGGGACCATTGTATTTTTGTATCTAAGGACCGTTGTATCTTTGTATCTACAGGCAGTTGTATCTTTGTATCTAGAGATCGTTGCAGACAGAATAAAAATCTGAAGATTTAATCTATAATCAGAATATTTTTGAACGCTATTAAACTGTTAAAATTTTATTTTATATCGATATTATATAAACTGCTAGCAGTAGTCAAGTGATATCAGTATTTTTAAAAATTTAGTTTAAATAAATCAGAGGATAATTCATGTGATGTAATGTTTAGAGGCACGGGACAGGGAATTCTGAGCGAATTCGTTGCATTCATTTTGCACAAATACCCCTGGAAAAAGGATGAGTCCATCTCTTATCCCTCCTATGAAAGCCAAACTGAACTTTCTAGCCTTGTCTGGCAGCTAGTATAGGAGAAGGACAACTATGAATTCAAAATCGTATGTCGCCTTGGTGGGACACGTATTTGAACAGTAACTAAAGTCCACTCAGCATAGTTACAACCTAAACCACAGATTGGATCTGTGGCGTTAAAGAAATGCAAATTGGTCAGCGCAGATAGCCAAGCTCAGAGGCGAGCAGCTATGCTGAAGATGGGAAATCACAGTCTGTTTACAGGGTGTGACTTCAAGTCGAAACAGCTCGAACGATGATATGCATAAATATACATATCAGCTCAGATATCCTAAAGTAAACAAAGCTGTTTATAAAGAAGTGATGGATTTTTATTTATTTTATTAATCTGATATATATATATATATATATATATATATATATATATATATATATATATATATATGTGTGTGTGTGTGTGTGTGTGTGTGTGTATAACAGGCCCATGAAAGAAATTGAGTGATAAAACAACACGAATAATAATGATAATAAAAATAATGCTATTTATATATACTATTATATATATAATTATATTATATTTATATAATATATATATATATAATTATGTATATTATTTATATATACTATTATATATATAATTTATTATACATATTCTATATATATATATATATATATATATTATATTATATTATTATTATGATTATCATATATATAATTCATATATACTATTTATATATTATTACGTATTTTGATCAAATAGAAGCATGTAAAAACATGAGACATGCCTGTGTCATTTCTCGACGAGAAAGAAAATGAAGCTGTTTACTTTTGGAGGCGTGGGATATTAGAGATTGTAAATGGTTTGTAGTTGGCTTTTCTAGAAAGTATATCCATTGAGTTTCCCTAAATTTTAATGTAAATTCCTGCTTAAACCTAAAATGTATGAATTTATTTTAAAAACGTATTTTAATTCGGATTTTCAGTCTTCTTGTTGACATTTAAAGGGAGACACTATCTATCTATCTCTCTCTCTCTGTATATATATAAACTGATACTTACAGTATCACCTTTCTCTCCGGCGGGTCCAGGATTTCCGCTTTGTCCGCTAGGTCCTTGAGGTCCAGGGAATCCTGGGCCACCAGCTGGTCCTATAGCTCCCTGTAATAAAATAAAGACAAAATAAAAACAGCTGTTTGCTAACACAATGTAATACACATATAACTTACAAGTTTCATCAATAATGTATAAATTCTTACTTTTTTCATATAGAAATCAATATTTTATTACATATGAGCTTTTAAATATATTTCCCAGTTGTTATAATGATTAACAACTGAAAATTGTTAACTGGTTGATATTTACACATTAACAGATAGTTCAAAAGCACAATGGAGCATTGTATGTAATCCACTAGATTAAGAGCAATCGTTTGTGTTCGCTAGACGATTGTGTGAATCTGCCACTAATTGCTTCTGCATCCAATGTCCTCTTACATTGGACTTGAGTAAATGATGGTGTGCAGATGACTTTATAAAATTATTATTCTTTTTTATTACTAAAACAATTACCTATGTTTCTTTTTTATTCCATTTTTATTTGATATATGAGGCTACATCACCGCTTGCCATTCCGCTACTGAATGAAGCGCATTACCATTAAGTTACAGATCGGTCGACTGTAACTTTGTACGTACTACATTATTACAAATACGAATCGTACTAACGACTGCTGTTATTTTTATAACGAAAGTAATTGTTATACTTACGCGATCACCTTTTGCACCAGAAGCTCCAGCCTCTCCAGGAAGACCTGGGTTTCCACTTGGACCTGGGGGTCCTGGAAGTCCGTTCTCACCACGTCCACCGGCAATACCTTGAGTACCACGGGGTCCAGCAAGTCCAGCATCTCCCTATGTAGTGGGAAGTGTGTCAGAGATAGAGAAAACATATATTTAATAGGGCATAATGGTTTTGTTATTAACAAGATTGTAAAAGTTAAATTTTAAAGGCTTCTCCTTTTCTTTCCAACTTGTTATTAATTGATTAATTTATTTATTTATGTCCGGTTTGGAGAGTCTTCATTTGTTAAATAATTCTCTTAGTTTCTTATATGTGAGTCATGTATTATTGATCAGCAGAATATGAAGAGTAAAATATAACTTAACATCTATTCAAAAAGCTGGATATGATTAATTGCATATCATCTCTAATCTCCTACATTAACATGATAGGATTCATTTTCACCGCAAAGACTGTGTATTTATGACAAGGAAGAGGTAGAAAGTCAATTTCATTGGCGTTGTGATCTAACAACGTTGCTGGCGCCGACAACAAAATGCCCCTCCCAGGCACAAGCATCCCCTCTTTATATATATATATATATATATATATATATATATGTATATGTAATTTTTAATTTAGAAATACAGATAAATTACTTACTGTAATTATCCGTAATTGTATATATCAATTATTGTCCCCGATTCCGCAGATTTTGTGCACTGTGTCCATTTTTCAAGGGGTTAATCTGTATGTTAAATATTTCCAAGTGGAAATACGGATTAACCTCTTAACATCCGAATTAACACCTTGAAAAGTGGATACAGTGCCACGAAGCTGCGGAGTTGGAGACGATAATTATCTATGCTCTATTCCAAATATTGAGGATTATAGGAAAAAACCGTTTACTATAGATTTAAATCTTATATATATATATATATATATATATATATATATATATATAGTCGGAGAGGAAATGCACAAGAAAATTAAATTAAAATATTTTATTTTGTAACAAATATTTATAGAGGAGCAAAATGTTAAAATTTAATTTTTTTTTAAATTTAAAAGACATACATAAATATTCATCTAGCCTTTTCAGCTAACTTGATTAATATTTATAAACGTTTCTTAAATTTAAAAATTTTGAAAAATTACAAATGTAAATACTTGTTAGAAAATAAAATCATTGCATTTTTTTTTCCTTTTGTCTTTATTCATATATATATATATATATATATATATATATATATATATATATATATATATATATATATATATATATTAATTTTCAAGGTTCCCAGCGGACACATACGCACACAAATTTGAGATTTTTATTAACATTTCTTTTCTAAAGACTACGAATCTCTTTAATAAATGGTTTTCTCTTCTTTTTAAAATTAGCATCTACATTTTATCAAACCCTTCTTTGCTGACTAGAAACATACGCTTGAAATTGTATGCCAAGAAATTCACACCGGATCGTCTTGCTAATATTTCAAATAAAAGTAAATTAAAAAATCTGAACGAAATAAGGTCGTTCAAAAATAATTTTGACAATATATGTTGATCTTACCTTAGCGCCAGAGATACCGGGGAAGCCAGGAGGTCCGGGTGGTCCAATGGGTCCAGCTGGTCCGGGAGCACCAGGTTGTCCGTCATTACCACGGATACCCTAAAATTGATTTTCAGTTTTTTTTTTTAGTAAATAAGTTCTAATAAAAACAAACAGACATCATTTAAAATTAAAAAAAAAAAAATACTGAACAACATTGACGCCATTATGATTACTTTAACCCTTGGGCCTCATCAACTGACATTTCAGATGCAACAGACTTCCTGTTCTGGTGTGATCTGAGGTGTGCCCAGTACATAGAAAGATGCGTCATTTAAGAAATTCGTACAAATTAAAATTATTAAGTCTATTACTACTTCTAAGTGTAAAAGCCAGAAAAATAAATAGCAGAAAAAATGAATAATTGATTGTGGTTCATCTGAGAAATTCAGACAATTTAAGACTATTATATCTATTACTTGTAATAAGAAGAAAGAAATACGAGTTAAAAATTAATAATTTTCAACGTTTCTTCTAAGTATTTCTTCTAGGTCAACGTTTCTTCTAAGTATTTCTTCTGGCTATTACGTCTATTAATACTATTAAGTGTAAAGGCAAGAGAAATAAGATGAAAGTAATGGGAAGTACTATGTCAACAAGCTGACGCAGTTACGAAAGGCTATCAAAACCAAACACCAAGGAATACTAACAAAAGGGGTTTTGTTTCATCAAGACAATGCTGTAGCGCACAAATCATTGCTTTCAATGGCTGCTGTAGGTGACTGTGACTTTGAACTGGTTGATCACCCTCTATATTTTCATGATTTGGCCCCATATGACTATCATCTGTTCTCCAGCATGAAAAAAAAACAAACAAAAAAACACTTGGCTGGGAATCAGTATTGCAATGACGATGGCGTCATGTCTACTGTTCATGACTTTTTGACCAACAGGATGAAAGCTTCTTCACCAATCGGATCCAAGCACTGCGATACCGATGGAAGAATCGTGTGAAACGCAAGAGGACTGTGATGAAAAATAAGACTATCTTGATCGGCTTATGAATTTTTCAGCCGAACTTCGTACAAGCCAAAAATAAATAGTAAATTTGTAAATTATATTGAAATGATTACTCACTGCAGGTCCAGGAGCTCCATCACGTCCGCGCTCTCCATGGGATCCACGAAGACCTTGTGGTCCGGGGGCACCGGGAGCACCAGAAGGTCCAGTGTTACCTTTCTCTCCAGCAGCACCAGCGTCTCCGTTCTTGCCAGCAGGTCCTCGGAAACCCTAAAAAGAAGAAAAAAGTTGCAAACGTGAGACCGAATTTCAAGAAATAGTAAAATATTAATTACAATTCAAACGCCTCATTATAGTTAATTACATTATTGATTATAAATCAATTATAGTTAATTAATTATAGTTAATCAAAGGCAATAAAACATTTTACTTACACGATGTCCTTTAGCTCCTGAAAGTCCTGGAAGTCCTGGAGATCCGCGTGGTCCCTATTAAAGAAATGAATACATATTAGTAACTGTAATAGATAGTTGATAATAAATGGACGAAGATAGATAAATACATACAGATATAAAAGATCAGATGGAGAAAGATATACTTACAATGGGTCCAGGTAAACCACGAGTTCCTGCCTCTCCATCACGTCCATCTTCTCCCTGTAGAAAAAAGATGCGAGATTTAACTAAAATATATTAAGCATAAATAGAAGAAATATTTAAAGGAAAATGTGTGTTATGCTAACAATCAATTGATGTATTATTTTGTCTCTTAAATAAACATTATGTTGATGCAAATGTCCGACATATTTTTAATAATGTCTCGTAATATAAATTTATAGCATTATGACGGCGTAAACAAAGTATTTTCCTCGGAATTCTTACACTAGCTTTCAAATGCATTGTGTATTTCAACATAAAATACTAATTCTGGTTTTGATTCGATTCAGACATCGATAATTTATTTCTTATCTTTAACTGGTTGGAACTGAGGACTCAAAAATTTAGCAGGAATGAACAATAACTAACATCAGAGAGACAATGTATCACGATAATCAACAGATATCCCACATCAGCCAATCAATGGATCAAGTGCAGAAAAAGATTGTCGACTTCCTTTTTCAGAAAAAAAGAAAACGATTGTCGACTGAAAAATGAAATGAAATTAAGGCCGATTTCCTTATCCAGAAAAAAAAAAACTTCTACTTTATTTAAACGAGCAGTTTGCTCACATTGAAGAAAGAATTTAGTGATCAATAATGATTTGCTGAATACACTTATTTAAAAACTTCTCTAGGCAGACATGACAATGGTTAGACGCATTTCATGTAACTAATTCTATGTATTAGTATTCATGAAATATAATCTACATTCTCTACATAATGAGTCGTTACGAATATGCTTATTTGTATATATGTAGCAAAGAATTGAGATTAGAATTAATAAATATACTTACGTTCAAACCGGGAAGTCCGTTAGGGCCAGGTGGTCCACGTGGTCCGGGGGATCCCTAAAATTAATTAAAATAAACATTTTAAAAAGGAAACGCTCTGTTAAGACAGTAAAGATATATTTGATCATTATGTTCAGATATTTAGATATTTGTGAAACTTAGACTAGTCTGATACAAGATCAAAGGGCAAAGCGTCTAAATGGAGATTTGAAATACTTCTATACTAATCTTCCACATCGGTAGAGCCGTAAAATTCGCATTCGAAATATTAACTTTTACTCGTACTGGAACGCTGGCTAGAACAATGAGAGATGATCAATGTATTTCGTCACTGCAAATGTTCATCACACACACACACACACACACACACACTCTGAAGTGCATTAACAAAAATGCGAACATTATGGTATGAAGGGAATATTTCATATTTGTTGAGTTGAATGCGTGCTTTCTTCATCATTAGGGTCAGGGTATGTGTGTGTGTGTGTGTGTGTGTGTGTGATGTGTGTAAACCTAAGAAATTACTAGGCGTACTCACAGGGGGTCCTTGCTCTCCGGGTTCACCGCGTGGTCCCATAAATCCTTGGGGTCCCTGTGTAAAAAAAAGGAAAAGAAATTGTTACTAACATATATACGCAGAAGATTCGTGGGTATCATTTAAATTCACAAAGCGACACAATTCCGAATTTTCAAAAGAATAATCTTCTGTGAGTGTCAAATTCACCAATCCCCTTTTCCTCCTCATGTTCCCTAGAAATTTTAAGTGTCTTTTTTTGATTCTATACCTAAGTATGCTTTTTGCTTACATATTTCTTAAAACTTCGTAGTTACATACATGTTTAATCGATGATATTCTTAGCATCCTTCTGTAGAACCATGTTTCTGTTGTCTCAAGTCTCTTCTTCATCTGTGAGGAAATTGTCCAACATTCTCTGGCATGTATAGAGAACTAATATTACATAACAGTTCAACAATCTTTCCTTTATTTCTGACGAATTTTTCCTGTTCCTTAATACTTTGCTTGGCTTTCAGAATCATCTTTCGTTATTCAAATGCGCTTTCGGATTTCGTGTCACATTTTCCGTCCTCTGTTGCAGCACTTGTTTGATTTTGGTAACTCCAATTCGCTGTCCGCATTTTGGACAGTTCCGTTTGCTAACAAACATGGGTTCTTTCTTCTAACAATGGTCCTTTACTTCCTTCTGTAAGAGTTCATTTAGATTCCGTTCTGTTTTCTCTATCGACAGTGTTCCATCTGCATATCTTATGTTGTTAACATTGGGGTCGCCAACAACGACTTCTAATTCTCAAAAAAATCACCTAATTTTAGAGCTTTAATAAGTTCGGTGAGAAAACTCATTCTTGTCTGACACACCTTTCTATTTTTGTGTATCTACTAAATTCATTTTCTATCCTCATACGAGACATAGAAACTGCCTAAAAATCGATGACCAAATTGTTCAGTCAGTTCAAATTTCCCAACTATTTGGATAAAACCTTCATCAGCTATTATTAGATTTGTTAAATCTTTAACAATAGTGTTTAAAACTATTTAAACGAATGGAGATTTTCTAAGTCTGTTACTAGAGACTATATAAAAGAATATGTAAAACTTACTGGAGGTCCAGCAGGTCCAGTGTTACCACGAGGACCTGGATTTCCAGCGGCATAGTAGTGGCTTGGGAAACCTGCAGGCGCTACACCAGCTTTTTCACCGCCACCAAATGGAGATTGTCCTTGGACCTGAGGATTAAAAATACGTATAAATGATTATAAATATGAATATGATCAGATAGATAGATAGATAGATAGATAGATAGATAGATAGATGTAAACAAAGAGTCCTTTGTATAGGAGAATTTCTTTTTGATGTTGTGCCATTATTGGAGCGAAAATACGGTTAATGAGCCGACGAAAATGACGTTAAATGATAGATACATGTGTAAAGAGTTTTACGGTGTTATTTGAGAGAAAAATTACAAATTCAACAATTAATAATAACGTTCAACACGTAAGATTACGGAAATATTCTATATTTAATTAGAATCGAAATTTTATGAGAGGTAAGGGAGATAACTTACTCCTTCTGGAGCATCAGATTCTACCTGTAAAACGAGAAAAAAAAGAGTGGTTATACATTTTTTTCTTAATTTAAATCCGTTTTTATTTTCTAATGTGAAAGTTTTAAATATTATAGTGATAATTTCTTTAATGAATAAGATAGAGTTCTTTAAATGTTATTTCCTGATGTTAAGGTTTAATATATTATACTGAATTAAATGTCTAACTACGATAATTTCTTTTATGAATTTGAACATTAATTCTTTAATATAGTTCATTAAATTTTATGAAGTTACAAAAATTCTTACTTCTATTGGTTTTTCCTTGGCAAGATCCTAAAAATATAAGGAAAAATGGCATAATTTTAGAAAGATATTAAAATGTCTATGTCCATAGATCATACAAAAAAGACTAGCATAAATTAAAAAAAACATTTATGTCTGAAGAATAAACGCCCTCTGGCAATATAGTTTTAGATATAAAAATGAAATGCGACGAAATATATTGCAATATATTCAACTGGCCTTTTATTAAATAAAAGATCATATTAAAATTAAAGAACACATTATTGTAGCCGATAACTTTTATGCGTAGATATAAGAAAAATATATCGACAATTAATCAATCACTCAATCGGGTTCTGTACAACTCAATACTGCCGACTGAACACCGCCAACTGAACGCCGGGACAACTCAGGACCGAGACAACTCAGCACCAGAAAAACATATTTTTTTTTATAATCAAATAAAAGTAATTTATTAAGGATTAAAACCTTAATTAGTGAATATTTTTATCCAAATAAGGCATTTGAAAAGGCCTTATGTAAAATATGAACCAGTTTTTTTTTGTTTTTAATTATTTTTGATAAAGCAAATCGTAAATAATTAAATTAATTGCATTTTCTATTTACTTTATTAAAAAAATAATTATAAACAAATGTGTTTTATTGAATTATTTTTTATATGTCAATTTACTTAAAAAAAATACCCATACGCATAGTGTGCCGTAAATAGCAGTCAGATACAACTTCTCACTTAGCTCATTTAGCGACCGTTGGAATGGAACCTAGTCGTTAAGCGAGAAGTATATTTTAGCATCATTGACTAGTTGAAGTGTAAGCTATATTATAAACAATCAATCAACTTTACACCATTTCAGATTACGAAAGTTTTTGCAGGAACATTTTAATTTTGGCTATAATCATTATTCGAACATATTTTTGTTAATAAAGATCTCTAATCAAAAAGAGTTTTAAAGGAGAAAAAGCCCAGAAACTCCTTGAAGTTCACTTATGAGTTTTTCCTTTTATCTTCCCATGTTAATTAAGATCAAACAAATTCAATCGAGATAATATGACATATACTTACATCTGCGACAACAGCATCTACAATGAGAAAATAAAAGGTATTGAGTGATGTGTAGCCCATTTATGAGATATTGCTTATTCAAATAACAATATTTACAGAATATTCAAATACAATATTTTGATATGTATTAATGTTTTTGTAGGATTTTATTGTAAGTTTTATACATTATATTACAAGAATCATTATTATTCTATATGATGTTCCATGCAATAACTATAATTCTACATCGTGTTTTATATATATATATATATATATATATATATATATATATATACAGAGGCAGAATGAGAACAAATGGAGTGTAATTCCACTGTCCGTAACATTTAGTTTAAAAGAGCGGCCAATACAGTGTAGAGCTAAATATTATTTTAGGATATTAAAACAAAACCATGTTAAAAATCGCTACACAATTGCAATTATGTTTCAATAATACTACCGACGAGACAGATTTGTAGTATTAAGATTATTGCATTCTAAAGCGAGCTTCGTCTCCTAAAGTATATAATTAGCATATTTAAGCAAAAAATTTTAATTTTCAGAAATCTTATTTACGAAGCCCATTGTTGTCGTTTGGGTGATGATTATGGCAAAACCTGTTTGACTTTTATTATTCTGTTGCAGTTTTAAACGGAAGCCGAGCGGACATCTTCTATAAGCGTCCACGAAGACATTTGGAAATACTATTCAAATAATTAAACAAGGAATCTATTCTGAACGTGTTTAAGTTTTAACTGCCCGACTAGACTGACGATTCTCAACACGGGCTAGTATGAACACGCAAGTTGGGGAAGTGTTATGAATAATCTCCCCTTTTGTTGATACTCTCCCCTTTGAGAGACACTATAGGCGAACCTTGTATTCTCGGTTGAATAAAGCTCTCTTAAAGCCTACACCTGCCGACTTTTGTCTTTGCAGTAAGTGTTCAGGGTTATTATTAAGCTGTGCTGTCATTTTAACAGAGCATTAATGATTTAACTCTCATTGGAACAAGTAACTTTTTATCGTTTTATTTATATGTTTACATGTGTAGACGTATTCTAAACATTTAACTACTACGGCGATATATTTACGGCTATATTTAGCACTTTTTATGCTCTCACCCAGTGAGCAACCGATTGGCTGTTCCCGCCATAGTTTAATTCTGATAACTGGTGATGTTTACAAATGTTTTTGTTAAGACGTATTCAAGATATGACTTATTTCCGGGTCATGCAAATTTAGGATGATAATGGTGGAGTAATGGATAGCGGCTCGGATTGAGAATCAGAGAGCCGAGTTCGAATTCCACTCGAATCCATTTACGTGCTAATAGTACGCAAATACCCTTGGGAAAGGTATGAACTCTTCTTCTCCCCCCTATGAGTAAACAGATCGGCAAAAGGTCTACTACAGAAAGAAATGGCAACCTACTGCGAGAAAAAGTCATGTATCGAAAGATACATGATTGCTTAAGCGTGTATCACGCATGGCACATAACTGACTGAATAACACAGAGGTTATCGACGCCAAAATTGGAATAAAGTTCGTGACGTTCACTCTCGTAAATACAAAGAGATATGAACTGTTTTCTTCCCTATCCGGTCTATGGGATAAATAGCAGGGTAGACTGGGTTCTCTAGCTTTGAATTACAACCACTTCAGAAGAATGGCAACTATTAATTAAAAACTGCTATGGAGTTGGGCTAGCAACATCATTCAGAAACCTTAACAACAAAGACACCTAGCGTGGCAAGGTTGAGCTCTATGCTACGCAGGGGAGTCTAATGGTGCTAAGTAGGAGAGAGGGAACGTTAACCGATTTGTGGTGTTTGTCTTTAACTTACATTCTGTGTGCCGGTTCATGTCAAGAGGAATTCACACGTGGAAACTATTATGGCAGCATTAATCCCGCCCCATTAGCAAAACGCTCTTTTCGGGAACAGTTGTTTTAGCTATTGCTGTTAACGAGCTTCCATATTTGTAGTAGCTGATATTCATTCCAGGAGACCAAGTGCCAACAAGTTTTTTGATACTCCAGAATTCTCTTGAGTATTCTTGTTTTCAGATACTACCGATAATTATACTGGTTTCTAAATCATCCAGATTTATTTTTCCTAGGCTTTTAGGGCGGTTCCTAGCGCATTGATAAACCCTCAGCATCTTTTTTTTTTCGACAATCACTGAAGTATCGGCAGGGTCACCGTGGAAAATGGGTATGATGTTTAAAGACCCGAAATCCCTAGTGATCATTGGCTAAAAACATCACTGACGATCTATGCCAAACAAATCGTCAATGATTTAAAATGATGTAAACGCTACCTTCGACGAAAGTTTAGAAATTCATGAAACATTTTACTTAGTCCTTGCTTATGTATTTGGCTATGTGTGAGAAAATGTGAGTGAACACTTAAGAATAAAACGAAACAAACCAGATTTTAGGAGATGTTATTTTCTTCATGAAATTAAGCATGCTTTTCAGAAAGCCCAACGAGGCACAAGTGGTCCGCGTGTCGCAGTTTGCCCATCACTATCTTAGACATCTATTTGTCATTTTTCATAATCTCGCTTTATCGTTCTTTGTACCGTTGTTTTAGTAGGCGTGATCGCATGCGCGCGCACACACGCACAAGCAAAGTATAAACTCATTACGCGTATTTTAGGAGATAACTATTTTGGATTTCGAGTATGCGCTCACACGGAAATATGTAAATATTTTGGGAGTCTAACTGTGAAACTAGATGCCAATATCATCAAATAGCTTTCACCTGTCTTTGCGGTAAAATATGCTTAAATTAAGTTGTTGAGGTATCAGATATGTTTTAAAGCCAATTAAATAAATATTTGATTTGTGTTTGAAAAATAAACAGCATTAGTAGAATCCTTAAAGTTAGTTTTGATTTGTTCTTTACATTACAAACGGAAATAAGAAACTAGTAATCACACAAAACCAATTAGAAAAATCAAACAGAGATGTTATGTACAGATGTTGTCGTTTAGTTCCTTTAAGCAAAAAGAGAAAAACACACTCACGCACACACACGAAAAGCAAGTAGATGATTTTTTTTAAGGTAGACAAAAGATCGTAGAACATTAGATGCATCTAATTTGACCGAATGGTCTCTACGGACATGCTATAGAAAACAAAAAGCAAAAAGAGTAGTATAAGTAGTTTATCTTTCAATAAAGGAGTGGGATGACACGGAGAAAAAGGAGGCTATTTGGTTTTGTTTTAGTAGAGAAATTTGTTATACAGGGTCCCGCACAAAACAAGTTTGTTTTGCCAGTGGTCGCCCGTCATAAAGGTCTCTATCTACAGAAAACCTACAAGACAGGGAGGTTTTTATAGATCGTGCACACAGTTTTTCAGACTAGAAGAGTCTTCTGTTCAGAGGTTTTGGTAATCAGAGAGGAAGAAAAGAGCAGTCAAGATTTTGACGCCATATTTGTCAATCTTTGACCGTTAGGTGGCGCTGACCTTTAATCGGTCCACCATATTTACACCATCACAGTATATTGGATTTGGAAACGCAAGAAAAACATTTTTATAATTTTGTTAATTATACTGTTCTTATAACAGTTGCTAATAATACAATATTGATAAATAAGTTTTTTTGTTTGTTTAATTTTAAGTGTATTTGATGAGTAGTTATTGGCTGAGTTTGCAATATAACAATGGAAATAATTAAGAAAGTTTAAAAAGAGAATATGCTTTCTTTTCCATTTTAGATGTTGTTATAGACACAACGGTTAAGAAATGCAAAGAAGAGCCTTACATAATACTTTTAAAACTAATTTTTCAGTATCTTATATACTCAGCATTAGAAATATGTTTCTACCTTTCTACACACACACACACACACACACACACACACACATATATGTTAAAATAATACGAACAGTAGGATTTATAATCCGGTGTTCTTAGCAATTATTTTTATTAAAAAAAAAACAGTGGTCGATACAAACTGTAGAGCCAAATATTATAATTATTTTCTTTTTTGTGTTGCGATGGATCATATTTTTTAAAATGAAAGTAATTATAATATATATATATATATATATAAGAAAATATAACCGGTATAAAAATAAACAAGATAATGTCTATTTTTATGGTACTAACGTTCTCATCTTGTTTGTTTTAGTTAAAATGTTTTAACCGTTGTAATTTTCGGCCTTTTTCAAGTGACAGTCATATTCAGTAATGCTCTGACGATCTCGAACCGAAACCTTCGCCTTATCCCACTATGTAAGATTGTTTGTTCGTTTTTTGCCTAGGTCAGGCAGCGAAATAGAAATACCCTAGTTCAGTGGAACGAGCAGAAGCGAAATCGTAAAGATGCGTTAATTAAAAACAATAATTATGAGTTATGTCCCTTAACATGTACCGTGGAATAAAAGCAGTCTACTCCTGTGGATTAAAAAAAAGGGTTCGGCTCGAAATTGCAAGACCGTTAACGAATACGACAGGCATCTGAAGAACACCAGAAACCAGAATTCGAAATAAAAAAAAATCTTCAAGTTAGTTTCAAGAAAATAAATTTATATATTTCAATGCAATTAGCTGAAAGTGTATATATTGTCAACACTTCCTTAATAGTTTTATTAAATTAAAATTTAAAAGAAAATAACTTATATAGTTGTTTATTGATATATTTAATTAAATAGATGTAATACAGATTTCTTGGGGAATTTGCCTACCATTATAGTCGTTGATTAAGAAAGAGATGCCTTTTCCTAAATACGATGTCAGTGTAAAGCAGCGGCGATTGGCTTGAACACTGAAATCCCTAATGAATGGAAGCTATTTAAAACCTGAGAAATGTGAAACCCGTAAGGCTACGGACTTATTGATTGACCTAACTTTGTACGGCAGTATTCTCAAGCAAGTTTTCTTATTTTTTTTTCACGACGTTTCGACGACTGTACTCTCTAGCCTTCCTCAAATATCTGTCGTATTTCGTATCTGTATTTCATTTAACATTCCCAGAAGATTACCGAATACAAGACATCGGAGAGAACCTGGTGAGTGCAGGGACCGAAACGATGGGAAGGCGTAGCCAAAGATGAGGAAATTGGACAGCAAAAATTAACTTATATTTCGAGTAATAGTTTAGAAGAAAAATGTGCAGTCTGTGTAAATAGAATTTCTTCGAAAATAGTTGTTACATTTTTAAGACCAAACTTCATGCAATAACTTTTTTCAAGTTTGATATTTTTTTAAAATTTAGATATGAATTATGTTATCTTTTAAATTAGTTTTCTAAATTGTAACTGTTTATGTTCGAAAAACTCACAGACTTTAAACATATTTTAGATATAGATTTAAATAACATTTGTTTTTCTTGCGCTTCGGGACAGCCAATTTATTGTGAGGGTGTTTTTTATTTATTGTTTTTTTTTTTTCGGACTTCCTACTAACTTACCCGGGCAGATAGGGCAACAACTCCCTTCAATTGCCACTGCATCCAAACAGTTCGGTTCGGGGCAGACCTCGTCTTTGCAGGTCGCCTCTCCATTGGAGCACTGACAGATCTTACATACCTCCGGGTGCCAAACTTCACCCTCTGCGTATACTCTGTCATCGTACGTACAGCCTGAAGAGAATAAACCGGCTTGTCACTGATATTGCTGGGCAATTATATTTTTTCGCGGCAAGGGACGCGCTGACTGCGTGGTCAAAATTTGACCAGATATCCTACGCGACCATAAAACTGACTGTTTCTCGAGTGATCATAAAATTGACGGTACTAGGAGTACCAAACTGATTATACCTCATACACAGCCATACAACTGATTATTTCTCTTACGCGACCATACAATTGTATAACCTACGCGACCATACATTGGTTGCCAGATTGAACTAACAAATAAGCGAATTGAGTTATTTTTAAATTCCTGTGCCGCTAAATTTTGGATTTTGAAAGTTGAGGAAAGATGAGCTGCTAATTAAATAAATATCAATTCAAAATGAACTTGCTCTGGGTTTTCAAAAATATCCCAAACTCTCTACTTGTTAGTTTAATATGGCAACCTGGGATTATAAAAGCGACCGTATCTACTACGCAATGCGACATTTTTTTTATCCTCTGCATGTTTAAAACAAAAAGCACACACTAAAAAATATGTACGCCGAGAGAGAGAGAGAGAGAGAGCGAGAGAGAGTAAGGGAGGGAGAGGGGATATATATATATATATATATAAAGAGAGGGGAGAGAGATAGAAAAGTGGGGAAGAAATAAGGGAAATAATGTAACAAAATAAAATAATTTGTTAATACAGAGGTACGGTGGTGTAATGGTTAGCGGCTCGAGAGAGTCGAGTTCGAATTCCTGTCGAGTTAATTATATTTTCTTACGTGAGAATCCATCACTTCTCCTCCCAGCTGTGGCTAAAATTGCATGAGAGACCGAGTCGTCCTATAGTATAGCCATGGTTGGCAACCAATCTAGGAGACAGATTGGGTCCTATAGCCTTGGGTAGCAACCACTTACTACTTTGTAAGCCTTGCCTCTTTAGGCAAAGGTCAGAAGAAAGTAACTTCTAAAACCAATCCACCTCTGAGAGGAGGGATAGGGTAACCTGAACATTTCTGGTGCAAAAAAAAGAAAACCCCCAAAACAAAAGAAAAACTGTAATGTCACTAGGTGGGTGGTAATTACAGCGGCTCAAAACGCACTAACTGAAGAAAATGAATCAATGAATGTAAATTCAGATCCATAGATTTCTGAGATGTGAAGTTATCATAATTTACATTGTTTACAGCCAGACAGTCTTTGTTCCCAACGTTTCGACTTCTGACGTTCTTCATGTGTCTGTCGATAATTTTTCTGGGAATTTAGAATTCTTTTTTTTTTTAATCCACGAAACGTATTTATTTACTTGTAATGAGAATAATCTATCGCAGGAGGTTTTAAAGAAAGAGTCCAGTCCCAAATTCCTTGGTGGTTACCCGGATCGACAGATACCTGAAGAAGGCCGGAGGGCACAACAGTCGAAACGTTGTGATAATATCAAGAAAGACGGGGATATTAGTCTGACTGAAAATTATAACTTCACATCCTAGAAATTCAGAAAGAGATTATAGATGTGTATGTTACAAAACAACAATGGTGAGGACATTAGTCCGACAAGGAATAATGTATATGTAAGTAATAACCTTCTCCCAAACATAAATGCAACCACAGACAATTTGTCACTTTTAGCATATATGCAAAAGCGCGACTTCTGGCATTAAGGCAAACACTCGAGAAGCATAAATATTTATAAAATACAAGTGAACTTAACCTAATTATTAATTATTTAAAGTAAATTGTTTTTTTTTTGTGGGGGTCTCATAAAGAGAATTATAAAGAAAGGTTGTTCTTTGTGCATACACAAAGACTGGATTAGAAAAACGTAGACATTTTTTTCTGTTCCAACTTCAAATAGAAAGTTCAGCGGTATATTTAGAACTACTAGTCAACAAAAAAATGTTAAGGCTTACGGCCATAACACATTGAAACGCCGGCTCCTGTACCATCACCGAAGTTAAACAACGTAGAGCCTGATCACTATCTAAATGGGTGACTACTTGAGAATAACTAAGCATGAATGTGCGTAATAGATAATGGCTCGGAATTGTGAACCGGAGAGTCGAGTTTCAATTCCAGTTGGGTTCGTTATATTCACTTACGCGCAAATAGCCTTGGGAAAGATATGAATCCATCTCTTCTCCTTCCAGTCTTATAAGTCTTATTAAATAACACATAGCTGTACTGCTGTGTAACACATACGCAACTATGTGTTATTAAGTAGGACTTGTATCACTAAATCATTATTATCCCCCCGCCTAAATTCTTACAATTAAAAAATATTTTGATGGACCGAAGAAAACAATCAATGAAAAATATTTAAAAAAAAAAAAACAAACTATTTACATCCCAAATTGATGGTTAAATCTTTTTTTTACAGTGATGTTCACTCTATACAAGGCCCAAGAGCCATCTCGAAGTAGAGGGTTACTGAGTAAGAGGCATAGATTATGGGATATGTGGAAAACATAACCGTTAATCCTAGACTTGAACAGGTTAAGATTGCAGTAATCTTTGAAGAATACTTTTGGAAGTTGGTTCCACAAAGCAGCTGTACGTGGAATGAAGCTGTTCGGGTGGAATTTGTATCGCACCAACGGAATACAAAAGGAATTAGGTTGGTTCGGCACCATGCGCGTGTTATGGCGGGTTTTAGCCGAGAAGGTTAGATCTGGTGGAACGAAGGTATCTAGAAGTTAGACGCGCAATAAAGCTAGTCAAGATCATCGTGTTCGTCTAAGCGAGAAGTTAAACCATTGGAAAAGAAAATCTCATAATCCATGTAATGACTCCATTGCACCCCGATTGTCAGACCCGTAAAGCGCGGAGGACGAGAGAGACAGAAAAAAACTAAAAGAAATAGACGGCGTGAGAGAGTTATTCCAATGTTATGTCCCCCTCAGAAACGTAGGTGATCATGACTCTCCACCTTTTCTTTATTGCCTTAGATTGCTACAAGTTCTCGGAAAAAATTAGTGGCGTGGCTTTCCGTTGCTTTAAGATGCATTCATACAGCATCCCCTCGCCGTAGCGTAATGGTTAGCAAGCTTGTCTCACTAGAACAATTACGACTGATTAGTGAGTTCGATTCTCACTATGCGCTCCATACGTTCGGCCTTGTGCTACTTCTAGACAATCACCATATAACAACTTCATCGGCACTTCAACCTGTTGCAATAGTTAGCAGGCTTGTCTCGCTAGAACAATTACGACTGAGTATTGAGTTCGATCCTCACTGGGTGACTCATACTTTCGACCTCATATCACATGTAAGCTACGCTTAAAAAACGTCTTATTGGTATCTTACCGGCAAATCGCGCTGAGATGACTGAAGTTAAGCATTATCGAACCCCGTTTTGGAACACTGGGCACTGCAAGCAGTTACCTACAAATGGTTGATAATCCGTAAAATCAAATCAATTGTTATCAGTAGTTCTATAAGGACTGCCGAATTTCTAATATAAATTTTCAAAGGAAAAATATTTTAAGTGGCATTTCTATAATTATAACAAGTATATTTAAAATAGACTTTGGAAAAAAAAAAAGAATTAAATTTAAATAATTACAAACGCTTTCAGTGTTTCTTTTAATTAAGTTATACTCTTGGAAATAATTAGTTAAACTCAGATGGAAGAAGAAGGACGCATTAAGTCACGTATTTTCTTTCTCTTTCTTGTCCTTTGTCTCACCCCCCCTACCACCTCTATCAATTACGTGGCATACGCCTATGTATAATACTTTTAGAACGAGAGATTATGTTTCGCTCTTCTTAAATTCTGCTAAGTCAACAAAAAAATCTTTTCTGGCTGAGGTAAGCAATTTTTCTTCGAATTCTTTTTTTCTTCCTCCTCCTCTTCCTCCTCCTCTTCCTCCTCCTCTTCCTCTTGTTCCCTTTGAAAGTATTTTAACATCATCGTCATCAGTTTTTTTTTGTTGTTTTTTTTCTATTTGGCCTTACTCCTACCACAACTTCTTCCAGTCACCACCGAAATCCCCTTCACCTCCCAGGTGGTTTCTTTGGTTGAGTATTTCATACCAGCCAATGGTTGGTAAGAAAAAAAAAACGCCTACAGTCTGGTGGAAAGGGGAACGTTTACGCCTTGTAAGGTCAAAAATAAAATTTCTTTCTTTTTCTTTTTTTCAATAGGACAAAAATTGCTGGGGAAAGCAAATATTAAGTTACATGGATCTGAATTTTGTCACGAAAATGTCCCCCGAAAGAATGAAGCGCTTGATTTACAAAAAAAAAACAACAAAAAAAAAAATTTCAGATTTAAAAATTATTTTTATTTGATTTCTTTTAATTAACTTTAATTTAGTTTTACAAATTTTTTTTTTCTACTT